TGTACTTGCAATCAATCCGGCCGCAATAGCAGGGCATAATCTTGATATATTCACACAACCCCACCCACATTTACATTTACAGCAACAGCAACAGCAACAACAACAAGAACAGAACCCACAACTGCAGCATAAGAGATAAACAGTAAAGAAATGCTGTCAGCATATATTGTGGAAATCGGATTAAATAATTTACAATTGTTGAAGCTTTTTTTAAAGGTTAAATTAATCGAGTTCTTTTAAAAAAAGACCTCAAATAGCAAATCAATAAAAAGATATTTAATTTAATTACAACTTAATGTTATGTCAATTTCCAAATTTATATTTTATAGTGAATAACATCATTACAAGAAATTTAAATGTTTTTTTTTTAATAAAATTTATTAGATTTATCAAAATTGCTTATGAAAATTGTTTGTGGTTAATTTTAATATGTTTTGCTTAATATGTTGTTATATATATAAATATTTTTATTAACTATTCAATTGTATATTTTTAATTATTAAATTGTAATTATAAGTACTGAGTAAACTCAAAGAAGGTAAATTTATATAAATATGTAAGCAGACTTGAGAAATATTGTGAAAAGTGGCATGCATTGTAAAAACAAAAAGGAAAATAAAAATATTCTTGTAACTTTTTATTGAAATACATATTTTTAACAAAAAATAAATAAAATAAACATATTGCCGATGCATAAGATGTGTATTAATCTAATATAATATTTCATTATTGATCCTTTTATTACATACATATGCAGACCGATACTTAAAACCAATGTGGTATCCTTTTTTAGCTAATGATATGTAAATATATAATATAGGTAAATTACCAGATTCTGTTTTTCTATTTTTTCAATGTAGTAAACGTGTGCTGGACGTTTCTTGCGACACAGTTTTACCTTTTGTAAATTGCTGTTGAGTTGAATTCAATTCGTTTTCGCACTTTTGTGACCTACCTAGCGATCACTGTCCTTCACATGGAAATCACCAGTTTTAAATTGGCGAAATCATGTTTCGCATGTCTTAATCGATGGAGAGTGTCTACCATTGCAAGCCACAAAAATGTAGACTTAATTTGTGTGTGTTTGCAGCTCAATGTCACGTATGTATTAAGTTAATACGCGGCGTAGTTTTTTCTGGTACCATCTCTTAGTTAAACCAGAAAAAACTTATGCATACACTTAGTATAGTATAGTGAATTGTGTACTATCCACAATTCACTAGACAAACATATTTTCACAAAATATATCCATAAAATATAAAATACATATAACTTATGTATATTTGAAAGATACTAAAAGGTGCAATGTATTATACATTTTAGTCCGATGAATCAGTTACCTTGCCATGCATTATATTACAACTAATCTATTTCAAATATTTTAATTTAAAGCGATTAGAAATTGATGGGGGCACAGGAATTTTAAAACACTTAAAATAAATAGAATAAATGATAGATCCAAAATTTTATTATAAACTAAATTGAGGTTTAGGCAAATTAAAAAATGGTATTTTGAGTTAAATTTTTATTTATTTAGTTGCAATTTGAAATAACAATCGCATTTCTGACTATAAAAATGGTGATACTTGACACGAAAATAATATATAATAATTCAACGTTTTATGATATGACCTGCAAACAGTTCAGATAATACTAGGTGGATTGATAATTACTTGACTTCACAACAGGTGGCAACGCCAGAACAAAATCAATTATATTTTGTATATCTGGCAACTTTTAAAAGACAGCTGTAAAAGTTTTGACTTTATCAGATGTTTGGTTAGTTTTTTGCAAATAATTCCAATAGTTCACTTTGTTAATTTTATATAATATGGCAAAAATTGAATATAGTTCAGTCATAAAATTCCTCAATCAATCCACCTACTATATAAAAAAAACTTTTGTAATTTTTAAACTGAAGGAAACACTAGACAGTAGATAAAACTAAAATTAAAACTGTTAAATATTAAATGAATATACAAAGTATTTATAACATATTAAATTAATATAAAAAAATATTTATAACAACTATACAGGTAGACTTATTGTTATTGCAATTATAATAGACGTAATTACAACATTTCCTACATGGTATTAACTGCGAAATTGAATTGTCAAATGTTATGACGTCAGAAGTAAGGATCAGCTGTTACAATGCAAGAAGTCAATTTTGTGTTTACGCCTTTCTTTTAAGTGTAAGAATAAAATTTAAAAGAAAATGTTATCTCAGTACATGGAAGAATTTGAACAGGTTGATAATTTATTTAAAAATTAAATAAAAATTTAATTCAAATCGTTTTGAAAATTTAAGGAACCTTTTGAAGTAACCGAATTTATTGAGCGGCTCACTTGGCGTACCAACAATGAAGTAAACAGTGGCACTGGAGGAGGAGATGAATTTAATCCAGATGCTTTGCGTGATACTTTCATACAAACTATTAAGGACTTGAAAATACTGCAAGACAAACAACAAACGAAGTGTGAACGCTTGGAAGATTCATTGAAGCAGGAGCAATTAGCGCACACAAAACAGATAAGTAAACTACAAGAACGACATCAGACTGCAATTGACTGGTTTGGACAATTAGATGAAAAGATAAATTCAGTAGCTGGAAAAATTATTCACCTTGGTGAGCAATTAGAAAATGTAAATACGCCACGTAGTCGTACTGTTGAAGCGCAAAAGTTATTAAACTATATGTCTGAGTTTTTAGTCGCAGGACCTATAGTTAATGACATATTCAATGATCCGAATCGCTTGTATGAAGCAGCTGATGTTATACAAAAGTTATATGCAATATCACAAGATTTGCCAACAGAAAAATTTTTGGACTCAAAACGTAAAATAGAAAAGAAATATGATGAAGTTGAGCGAAGGTTGATCGAAGAATTTGCTTCAGCACAGAAAAGTGAAGACATTGAAAAAATGAAAAAATTAGCACAAATATTATCACAATTTAAAGGATATACACAGTGTATCGATGCATACATCGAACAAAGTCAAATGGTAAGCGGTGAATATTAAACATATGTTATATTAAAAATAATTCTTATATTATATTATTAAGAATAATTTTGCTATCTATAATTATTTATATAGAAATATATATATATATAACAATTTTTACTTTTGTAGACACCATATGGAGGTAAAGATATATTTATTGGTATAGTTCCTATGTGCAAACATCATTACGAGATCATCAAAAAAGTGTTTGCAAATCCAACACAGGTCATGTCCAAATTCATACTTAATATATATCAATTAAAATTACATCAGTACTCCATTACTAAGTTGGACGATAAAAAAGATGAGGAGAAGTATTTACGTACTTTGTATGAACTTTATTCGCGGTACATTCATATATTACTATTTATTATTTACTTTTATTGCAATATTTTAATTATGATATGTATTTTAGCACATTAAAATTATCGGCAGACTTACAGGTTTATATGTCTCCCATAGACGATGATCTACTTAATAAATTGACGCAACAGATTTTTACAAAGCATCTTGCCGGCTATGCTGAAATTGAATCTAAATGTCTTACAGCTAAATGTTCCACTGAATTGGAGAAATTTTATTTAAGCAAAAAGCATCAAAAGAAACAAACAGAACGCTTCCAAGAATTAAGAAGAGATATGCAGGCATTAATTGGCACGCGCGCAAATATAAACATAGCACAGATTGAAGATTATGGTGGCGAAACGTTCCTTTCTGAAGAATTAGCTATAAATATGTTGCAAGAAGCCAAGGGTTCATTTAAACGCTGTCGATTACTGTCAAGTGAAGCAGAATTGGCTGGCAATGTTATTAAGTTAAACGATATATTATTACGTTTTTTAATGCATGAGCATGTTAATTATGCCTTAGAGTTAGGTTTGCAGGCAATTCCTATCGCCGAAGGAAAATCTTTTCCACAGATGTATTATTTTGATGTTGTGCAAAAAACAAATATTATTGTGCATTTATTAGAGAAATTGTGTCATACATCCGTAATACCATGCGTACTGTAAGTAACAATTTAAAAAATTAATTATGTCTATTTACTGCTACTATTTATAATTAATATTTCCATTTTCATCCATTTTCAGTAATACTTCAAAATATTCTGATTATGTTTTTAAAAAACGCATTCTAATGGAACAAATCGAATCAAAACTCGATCAGGGCTTAGATCGTTCAATAAATGCAGTTATCGGTTGGGTTAAGGTTTATTTACAGAGCGAGCAGAAAAAAACGGATTATAAGCCTGAAAGCGATGTTGACACCATATCATCAACAGTGAGTGAATAAAAACGCAAAAAAATTATATATTGTTTTATGTTTTATGTTTTAACCTATCAAAAATGTTAAAAGGCCTGTCTACAAGTGGTTCAAAATCTGCAATCAGTTATTATACAAATTAAAAAATGTGTTGATGGCGAAAACCTGAAAAACGTTTTAAATGAATTTGGCGCACGTTTACACCGTGTCATCTATGATCACTTACAGACAATGCAATTCAATACCGCAGGCGCAATGTGTGCTATATGTGATGTTAATGAATATCGCAAATGTATACGAGATTTAGAAAGTCCATTAATAACACAACTTTTCGATATATTGCATGCGCTATGTAATTTGTTGTTGGTTAAGCCTAAAAACTTGAAAGAAGTGTGTACCGGCGAAACACTGGTAGGCTGGCTTAGAGTACTAATTAATCGGTAAAAATTACAATTAATAAATTTTATTTGTATTTCAGAACTGCTTGGATAAATCGGTGGTACGTCAATTTATACAACTGCGGGCAGATTTTCGAGTTATTAAAAATACAAGTTACTTGAAAGGCATTATGGAATAAATTATAAAAAATTTCCAAAAGTAGTATTTTTAAAAGTAGTATTTAATAGACAAATAGGGCAAAAGAAATATAAAAATAAAAGTAAATTAATTAAACTTTATTTTTGAGATACTGTAGAATAAGGATTATTTGTAAAAAGTTGTGACGTTAGATACATGGTGGGTATTCAGACGTAGCTCTGTAACTTCGTTATCGGTAAAGTGATAAAATAATAAATGTATCATTGCAATTAAAAAATATTTAAAAGTTATTAAGTAAGAGTGCTAAATACAAGCAAGATTATAAATACAAGCCATATTTTTACTTTTTAAAATAAAAACAATCTGTTGATGTTTTATCGAATACCTAAAAAATCATCAGGTATGATTTTTTCGAACACCATTTAGAAGGAACAGGAAGCTTGAAGAGAAGCCTTATTCGAAATAAATACAAAGACATTATTTATACATATGTGTATTCGTTATTAAAACATCATGACAGTTTTATAAGATAAATATTTATTTCAAATTACTGAAATGATGTGAAAGAAAAATTCTGGCACGTCTGAATAGTCTTATATAATTTTTAATTACATTTAATTTAAATTCTATATATGTTATATTAAAAAAATAATTGTTGTATACATATTATATTCATGCTTGATAATATAATAGTTAATTGAAATATTTAAAATATTTTTATACATATTGCAAACATTATAACAAAAGTATACAAATTTGGAGTAAATAAGAAAACTTCTGTACTTAAATACTAAATTTATTTGATTAATTATTTATTGATTTTTTAACCCACTTACACACTCTAAGCATACAATACTGAGGCGATTAATGCATAATTTGTTCACATACGCAACATTTTTAATGAAGGTAATAAATTATATATTAGCAAAAACAACTTCTTCATTAAAAATTTATAAAAATAATTATATTTTTAATTCTTGTAAAAATACAAGAGGTATTCGTAAAATTTTTAAAAATTTTTGGCTAAAAAATTCCTTCTGTCGATATTAATTAGAATAATAAAAGAATACAAGATGTTTAAATGTATGTTTTAAAAGAATACCAAGAAGTATCGATATTGCACGCCGAACGTTCTTTCTATTATTCGATATTTACAATAAAAAAAAAAAAGAAAAACAAATTATTTAGTTTAGATTTCTCATTACAAGTTCCCTTTTGTTATTTTCAAATCAAAAATAATATCGTAAGTTTTTCAAAAGGGAACATTTTTAAAGCTTGGTCAATACCCCTAGTGTCATATGACGTCACTTGTATGTTTGAAATTTATACATATATATATATTAAATTAATAGGATTATTAATAATAGTCATTGTAAATCATAATTGAATTTAATCAATGTGATATTTTTAAAATTCAACATTCTACACTATCAAAAGACGATTAGATGATAGGCTTGGTGTGCCAAAGAGACTCTACCAGCTACCGTACTTATCAAAACAATTGTATATTACGCACTTCAAACAACGTAATAAAAAAAATCAAAGAATTGCATTAGCTTAACTATATTTTTGGCAATAGGAGAATGTTAAAAACAATATCAATTATAGATATTGTTAGACATGCTGAAGTGATCGTTTAATTTTCGAGTGCCTTTTCAATTAGTTTGCTTTTAACTTTTGGTATTAAAGGAAGTCTTTAAAAAAATCTATTGGTTTTTATCTTCAACTAAACCAAATACATTTCTATCAAGTATTTTTGTCTATTCTATTAATAATAATAAATCAGAACGAGAAATAATTTTAAGTCGAGGTTAAAATGCGTAGTAAATGTATTTATGTTTTAAAAATACTTGTGCTGTGGTTCTGTCTAATAAGTGATTTGCAGGGATCGATCAGTGCTAAACCGTATAATAAAAGCACTTCAGTAGCCTCGGCTTCTCGAGAGTTGTATAAACGTTTTTTAAGAACACAATCGTTACCATTTGAAGATTGTGGTAAGTACTTACCTTTTAAATTAATTTTTAAATAAAATAGAAGTAATCTAAAAAGTAGAATAAAGTTTGCATAGATATATGTTTATATATAATATAATAAGGTAAATAGCCTGCAGGTTTATTAGATTTTATAATAACATTACTATAAAACTGATCTCATAAAAAGGATCTTATCTTGTTGTTAAAAATATAAATACAAATTAAGAAAAACTAAATCACACTTTAATTTTGCAATAATTTTTATTTTTTCGATATTTCGACTTTAGTCTAAAGTCATCATCAGGAAACTTGTATATATTAATAAGATGCAGAATTTTCACAAACTGTTTTTATTTAATAGTTTACAATAGCCTACCGTGTATTTATCTTTGAGTTCTACATTTTTTTCAAGGCTTATCTATTATATAAGTATTGGAACTCTTCCATTTACTTTTTATATAAAAAAATTGTTATTGTTGTTATCGTTGTATGTAAAGTTATCCTAAATTTGCAAATTTGTGAATATACGTTTGTACTGAAGAACATTTAATATACAATATATATATATATTACTTGATCTAGTTAATCGATATAATTATAGAATAATAAACCTTATTTGTAAATTTGGACAGATCAGATGGGGTGAAATTGGTGTTTGAGTATATAATGTGGCTTCCTTATAAGAAAACCGTCGAATGTAAGAGTGCTCATTACTAGTGGGTACTAATGTAGACAGATATTTTACAGTTCAGTAAAATCGTAAATAGGTTGACCCAGATTTAGATGTAGCTATCCTATAAATTGTGTTATTTCTATTTTCTATTTGTAATATTTTATTATTATTCTCTCATGTAGTTTCTAACGTAAAAAGTGTGTAGATTATTATATTTTATATTTCGAATAATTTTCTGACATATTACAATCATTCATTAATTGTTAGAAGATTAAACATAATTCATTATGATAAAATAAACAATAAATCACTGTAAATATTTTATCAAAAATATTGAATTTTGAAAAAGAAGTACTCGTTTCCCAAAGTAATACAGCATGACACAAATCGATCACAAGAGTGGTCCGATTACTCGTTTTGCATTTGAAATTGTCTTTCCATCTGGGGGTTTCAACCAGAAATATTTCGGACGATTTTACACTAAATGTAATGATTTTATCTTTGAAATAATCGTTATCATATGTACTTTAAATTAGTTTTCAAAATACCTTCTTAAATAAGGTAGGTCTCTGTAAAGTCCGTGCACGTCTTCGATCGAATCTAGAAGAACTAAAAAAATGCTTTAGTGATTTACTTTAGAGAAACCTAATTTAAGGCTATAGAGAAATATATAGTTTATTATATAAAAAGGCATCAAAATATCAGAGAAACATTGATATAAGTATATCACTAAAGTCGAATTTTTCTTTAAAGTTCGTTTATTAAATATTAGTATTACTGGGTACCAGATGACCCCTACTAAAGCATCTGAAAATGTTGGCTAACTTTATTAGGTTAATTTAATGACATTAGAAATACATATATTTCTATAGGTTTATAAGTCGCTGTAGAAGCTCCAACTTGCTCATTGTTGTTAAGAATTTAAGATGCAGTTCTTTCATTTGCTAGTTCGTGGTAGCTGTTACTAAAATTATATATACAATATGTAGAAACGTTGAGTGATATGATTTATAGATTGATAGCAACTAACGATTGACAGCATTAGCTTGGTTATCAGAAGTCTAGTCAGAGTATTGATTCGAGTTCTTCTTGAAGAGCAAGAAGTTCAGTCATAAAGACAATGCAAGAATCGGAAACTCGATTAGTTTATCCTCAATTATTTTGATATACACTTATTTACATAACAATAATTTATATAATAATATAATAAGCTCTTGACTATAAATTAAAGTTAAGAATCGCTTGAATAAATAACAATCGTTCACTTTTTAATAAACATTCAGCGTTTGAATGAAATCAGAAAAAATTAAATATATTTCTATTTGTTTTTGGGATCATTGAGCTTAAACTGCTACAAAAATATGCACATATGTATGTATATTTTGTATGTTTTACAAAATATAAAACACATACGTTACGTACATGTATATACAAACAACTTCAATTATTTTGCTAATAAATCAATCAAATTTGGAATGGAATCAAATTTTGAGTAACGAATTTATTTAAAACAAAAATTTCTTTTATTTTGAACTTGAAATTCAATTGTACGAATATTATTAAATTTATTGAGCTTTAATACGATTTTAAAAATAGGTTGCAAAAATAGCGCAACTACACTGCGAGAAATTACCAAAAATTTCCGATTTCCCCATGTATTGCATGGTATTATGTTCTCAAATGATTATACTTTTGATACGTACTATATGTTAGTTTAATATTGTTATTAATTGCATGGGATTTTAATATTTATTATTAATACAGGTGAAAACCAAAAATATAATAAATTTTGTGAAATTAACAAAAGCAATAATAAAAAAAGCTGTCCAATAGTTCTATCTCTGCTTGTTAATCTTCAATTCTTTTTTTTATTTGATGGTATCAGCGTCAGATGGTTGGCAGTAAATTAAAAATATTAATTATTTTGGAAAATTGCACTGATTACACAGATACGAATAGCGTCAGAAGTTATTTATGGATGAATCGACAGAAAAAGAAATTCTTTAAGTGCTACATCATTATGTGATTCACATAACTTCTTTAAAAAGTATTTGTTTTGTTAGATTATTCTTTTTATATAGTTACGATTTTTTAAATGATATATATTCATTTATTAAATAGTTCTTTCGGAAAAAGTAAAAGAACACTGTGGATGTGGATGATTGAAGTTTTAGAATGCAGGACGGGTTTTAGCTATATTCAATCTATATATTTAGAACATTTAAGTTAATGCATGACATTTAAATTTTCATAAATAATTAAAATAAATAATATAGTGAAATATATAATGGATATATAATTTGGTTCATACATTATTGCTTGGAAACTCAGGATTCTTCCAATTCATGCAAACAATCTTGTTATTTTTTTAACTTATCTCGAAGTTTGTATTTAATATTTGGTAAAGAACCTTTTTATTGTTTTAAGATTATAATTATTACTTGTTTTTCTGAGTAACAAATTTCATGTGCTTTGCTCGTGGCATATGGAAATTTGAAGTACTTTGGTACAGTAAATGTTATTTTTGCAATTTTAAAATGCTCTTATATCAATCAACCTTTGCTCATAGTTTTTAGTATTATTTTTAATATTGTACAGATTTTCGATTTTTAATAATAGCAGTTATTTATATATAAATATAAATATACATATATATATATATCCATACATACTTAGAAACCATCCAACCAATTTCGATGAAATTTTGATGGTAACTATAATTGGATGAGTGAAGTTGGTCAAATGCTATATTAGAATCCAATTGGTAGAACAAATGAGGAAATATGTTGAGGCAAAAGCTCTTAATCTTATAATCTGAAAACAAAACTTCTCGATAAGATACCTACTGACCTTTGTTAACCAATCAAAATGCGTTCAATTTAATTATGGTTCATTTAATGTGTATTAACTAAGCTGTATAAGTTTATTAAGATGTTTGTTACCTGCAGATTTGTAAAATAAAGAAATAAGCATATTCTAATCTCATTTACTCATATCCAGTAATTATCAAAAGAAAGATCCAGTAAATTTTTATTTGGCTTTCAGCAAACCAACTAAAGTCTGAAGTCTTGAATCAAGATTTATTGTTCAGTTTATCAATAGTACTAAATTATTCAAGTTCGCTTAGAAGACCTTCTTTAAGAATACCACAATAAAGCTTATGTATCATGGTATACTACTGTCGTTTCTAATAATAATAAAAATAATATTAATATGAAACACTTTTACGATTTAATCTATTGATTAATTTTCATTATAGTTCTTTTTTTTTGTTAGCGTAATCTTACTAGATACAATATTGGAATGCTTATGTTTGCAGAATGTTCCTAAAACTTAATGCATTAGATGAAGTTTAATAAATAGTCTATTTGCTGCTTTAAATTTTTTTTTTAAAGAAAATTAATGCAACTTTTGTTATAAGAAGTATATATTCAATTTTTTTTATTAAACTATACAAATTTTAATTGCAAAAAAAAAAAAAAAAATAAAAACAATATAAGAATCATATATAGTAATATTTGTGATATAAATCTAAACTTAATCGCGAAATACAAAATCCGTTTTTAAAAAATTTCAATCTTTTCAGGGTCTCAGTACGATATACTGTATCTCGATATATCATGTTGCAGTGAAATACCTTGTCAAATGAAGAGAGGTACTAAACCGACAGTCTATGTTATATTTGATGACGAAGGTAAGACTTTATGAGTATATTGACTTTTTCAATAACCCTGATTCTATATATCGTTTTACAACTATTTTGTACCGTTTCAAAAAAAAAAATAATAATTGAAAAAAGAACTGAAGAACTGAAGAAAAAGTGCTTGTATGTGTATTTGAAACTTCACTGCCAACTTCGAACAGTGAACAGTGAACAGTGAAAAGCAATGAAGTCACTAATACACGTAATATTTCGTTAAATGAAACTCAATTGAAATTGATTCCATATCGAAATTCAGACTTAGCGACTTCCATGAGAATTCCTTCAAAGCAGTTCAATTTCGCACTAAAGTATCTGTTCTAACTCAACATACGCGAATTAAATCAGTTCACATTATTTTTATATATAAATGAGTATTTTGATTACAACTTCTCTTCATTCCCCCCATTTATTGCTCGCACATATACTAATATTCCACAAGAGACTGATATCTGCATTCTCCAAAAATACTTAGCTTCATAGCCAATTCGTATTGATAAGTAGAGGTAATTGATTTATTGTGCCGTGCCGCTCATTGGCTCGACAATAAATACGGTAGTTATTTTCCATATGAGCAGTTAATAATAGCAAAATTGTTTTAAAATTGGCATAGTCATAAGTTTATTTAAGAAAATACATAAAAAAATGTTTAAGTTTCGAAGTAAGGGTACCGGTCATATCAGTCATATCAGTCATATCAGAGAGCGCATAAAAATACGAGTGTAATAAAGCCAAACAATTTGAGGAAATCCCAGTCTTGTGTGTACAAATTTTTTGTGATAATTTATATCATAAATTACGAATTATTGGTGTTCATTTCTTTCTAATCAAATAATTTTGTTGAGGTAGGTCAAAAACGTGCTTGGCTCATATATCTTACTGAAATGAACTGATTTATGCAATGGAGACGAGTAGTCGAACGATAATCTAATCGGTTTTTATCTCAGATGCCTACGATTCCATATTAGTGATTATTCATTACGGCTTTAGTACATATTTTTTTCAAACTATTTTAATTATAGAGTTCAAAACGTTTACGACTTTAAGCATGAATATAACTAATGTTGTGGATATATTATTGTGTTATTCACAATTTGAAGCGGTATTTTAATTATTCTCTTGATTTTTAACATTGAAAATATATAAAGGTACCGGAACATTTATTTGTGAAGTATAATTATGTTGCAGCTTGCCATTGCTGCCATATTTAACTGCATTTAATAGTGTAACTATGCAGGAGCCCCTCGAGAAAGAAATTAGACAACTAAAATATAGGTTGATTGGACACACGTTACACAAAAGCACAAAAGACGTAGCACATGCTGCACTTACCTGTATTCCGCAATCAACCCGAGGACGACCACGCTATTCTTTGCGTAGAACCATAAATAAGGAAACGAATAAATCGATAGGTGAAATGCGATATATCGCTCGAGATAGACAAAATTGAAACTTTTGTACAAACTCTTTGTGAATAGACTAAATTTATATAATCAATTATTCTACAGAACATGCCATAATAATAAAAATTCTTTTATATCACTACCTAAGTTGAATTGAAGGGTGATGGTTTTAAGAAGCAGAAGGAAACCTTAACCAGCTACTATGTACAAAGTAAACAGACTAACAACAATAACAATGATGTCTTGTAGACGAAAAAATTTTTAGTAGATTATGTTAAATAGTGAACTACATATATATTGCAAATACATTATTGAAAATAGTTTTGTATAGCAACTACGATATATTGATCTATAGCGACATCAAATGGTGCTAAACTTCCATATAGATATCATATAAGCTGGCAATGCTTTATTACGAGACGTTGTAGAATGTAAATTCTAAGAAGTAGCCACTAAGCATTTTTAAAAATTATTTAAAGCATTTTTTAGACTAGAGAGATTTGTTGAATTTATATCTAGACCTTGCGTCCCGTAGGTCTAGCAACAAAATATGATTTAACTCAAATTTTAATGAATAATGATGACATTAAAAATATTATTAAATTTAATAAAAAAATATATTTCTATATAAATTTTAGGCAGTAACACTACTCTATTGAAACATCAAGTGCGCTGGGTATTTAATGCCATAAGAACTGAAGCATCAATAACACCTGATCCTTGTGATGGAAATTTGGAATGTTTGAAAAATAACAATGACGGAAAATCATATTGGGCCACTATAAATGTGAACAACACACTACCAACGGTAGCAGTTTTTTAAGTGAATTTTTTAAATTGCATTTCTAAAAATTTCTATTTACAGATTAGCGGTTCTATGATATGGGAAGCAGCTGATGCTAACAACAATAATGTAATTTGTTTCAAAGTTCCAGTTGTCGTTATTAATTAAAAAGTGAAAGTATTATGAAAGCAAATAAAAATGTGTATTAAATATAATTATTTTTGCGTAATGTTTAATTATTAATATGAAAAAGATGGACTTTTAATATTCTTCAATTATTAATGGATTAATCTAATTTTAATTAATCTAATTTTCATATACAACATCTTTAGTTAAATTTGACAATAAATCATCAAATAAAACATGTTTTCGATAATTCTGTCCATTGTATTGACATAATAATGATTACTAACATATATCAGATATTTGGTGGATTAAGTAATCGCCACGGTCCACGTTGCTGTTAGAAATGAAATAACATTTTCTTTTGTCATAACGTCGAAAACTTTAATAATTTTTTTCATCTGAACATTTTATTATTAACATTACATATATGTATGTATTCTTTAAAATAATTATCCACAAATCCCAAACTTCAGGAACTATAAAGCTGAAAATATTTAAAGCTTCATCAAACCCATATTATTAAGTCTCATATTCAGCAAATTTACAGGGAACTTACAAGTATGTGTATGCCATCAAATATTTTAGGCCAAATTAACTGACCTTAAAAACAAGCAATCAAGATCCTTGACAATGAACGAGTGAAGAATTGACATACTTCACTGAGTTTGACATACATTACGAATACGTTAAGATAACATTATTAGAACCGCATTAAAATTAAAGTCAGTGTGTTATCCTAAAGACACCTGGAAAAATCACACTGTTCGAGATGAGCTATAAAATTACACTATGATATGGAACGAAGTAGAAATTCTTGTTTAAAACTGACTCTGGCGCAAACACCACGACCACGGTACATACTCTTTTGTTGTTCATAATACAAACTCTAAACATAGATAGGACTTGTATAGCATAACATAAATTTTCAATTCATTATTTTCAATAATTTTAAATTCATTTCTAGGAAGAGGAATAAACGGGGTACCAGCTTCCAACGGACCGGAGCACTGCGACCATGGTTGATCTTTTGTGCTACAACAGACCCTAACCAAAAAGAAGACATTCCGCCTTCCGAATGAAAGCCAGAATGTCAGCCGTTGCGAACCTCCTAATGTGAGAAGGGTAGGGAGAGTAGTTCTCGATCCAATAACCTACCTCTGATCAAGACTGGGCAGTCACAGAGTGTGACTGGAAGTCTCGTTTGCTTCTAAGCGGAGTCGACAATCTATCTCTTCGGACAGACCCATTTTGTTAAGGTGATAATGCAGTCCATGGTGACTCGTTAAATATACCACCAGCAATCTCAACTCTGTTCTGCTGAAGAAGGATACCTACCATAACTGTAGGGATGAACTAGCTTTTTCATCCCTAATTAATCATATAGTTCTATTATTTTCATTGCTATCTTTTCTTCTGATATGATATCGTAACCATTTTCCAATCATTGACGCCCAAGTGCTCTAATGTCATTTTTCAAAGTAAAGCAAAAGTAACAACGATTGAACTCAGCAAAGAATGATTCGCACGTACCCACATAGGGTCGCAGGTTGAACAGCTCTGACTAAGTGGATCTGTTGTTTCTTAAAATGTTGCTGCTGCTACTGCTACTGTGTGTTGTGTTGTGTTGTTTCTGTTGTTGCTGCTGGCAAATTCGTATCAACTGAATTATTAGTGCTCAATTCTTTCAATAACATTTTGCATCTGTTGATACGCTTGTGCTCTCCAATATGCGCTTCTCTCAAACATGATCCAAAATAGGGAGCAGTGCAAGCCCCTATAATTGCAATCGCTTAGATACCACGTTCAGTGTGTTTTCAAAGGAACTGCGGAACGGTTGTGTCTCTGCGCGTAAAAACTTGTTCCATTTTTTCGAAATTTTTTTAGAATTTTTGTTTTGGTTAATGTGCCATGATTTATGGTTAACTGATGTTCGCATTTAATTACAATCAAGTTAAAAGGACACAAATCTGAATTGAAAACATATTCAGACAAAAGTATATATATACATATATAAAGTTCATTCTCTATTTGGACTGCTCGCCGGGCTTGCAATTAAATTTTTTATGTCCCAATTTTTATTGCGTGCGAGTGTTGACATTTAAGTGATTTTTTAATTGTTATGATACAGTTAATGAAAAAAATGTAAATACCGAGTGCGTCTGAATTGTGAATTGTATCTAGAAAATAAGAGAATACAACATTAGCACGTATTGTATTTAATCGGTAATTGTAATCGGTAAATTGTAAAACAATCAACCGGCATTTCACTAAGTAAAGCCTGTGTTCGGTATGGGAAATGTTTTTGTTTTGTTTTGTTATTTTTGTTAATGGTTGTGCATTGGCTCTAGTAACACTAAATTAAAATAATATTAAATAAAAAATTAAATAAAATGAAATAAACACTTAAACGCGAACAACATATGAAGCATAAGAAGCATTAAAACAGAACAGAACGCATTTAGTGTTTCGCATCTTGTATCTCGTATCTTGTATCTGGTATCCAAAGCGTAGTATTTTTGAATTTTAAATTGTTAAAAACGAATCATTAATTGCCACCGTCGCCCAAGTTTGTGCGTTCAGCAAACATACACTCAAACATACACGCTCAGTGCACATCGTAAGTAGTCTCTGTTAGTCTGTTAGTCTGTTAATCGGTTAGTCTGCGTAGCTGTGCCAAAATGATCAACTCTTAAGAAAACCTATAAAATATCTTAGACTGTAATAAGACGATGTCAACTAACTAGGCATTCTTTTAATGAATACGGTTTTAAACATACTTTTTTATGTACTTAACTAATCAATGGCAATGGCAATGGCAATGTCAAAGTTGTAGTTGTAACAACATTCATTCATGATAGATAATAGTAAAATAGAGATTAAAATAGAAGGATTCTCATCATCAAAAATGATGACTTAAATTTCTTAAAAGGTCACCACCACTAACCTTCTTTGATTAGCTTCCTAACACAGGAAAATATACACATTTGATTAGAAGTCCGCGTTTAAATCCCAATATTCGAAAAATGTTCCTCTTTTAAGAACTATTTATTACTATTTATTAGTTTTATTTTAATTTGAGATAAAATAAGCACCTCTTAAACATTTATTGTTATTTATTTTTAAACTCCAGCTCGAACTAACACCTTAGAAAGACTGCTAATTAATCTTACTATATTTCCGAGTAGTGCTCGAACCAAAAACGACCGTGAGCGTTCCTGCTTTACATTTCATACATGATGGTTACATACCACCAAGTCAAGATGGCCATCAAATATGCTATAAGTAATGTAAACAGGAGAGTATAAGGCAACAACGCCGTGGCCAATGTCCAAAAGTGTAATTTAAGCACTATATTTCTGAAACAGACAAATTATCCTCTTAAAATCACTGCAGTTATGACTCTGATTAGCCTGAGGTGTAGAAATATTGCGAATCTTCCTGTAGTTATTCGGGGTATGTATAGATGTACTAGAGGTACGCGAAGACAATGTCTTACCATCTATACCTAAAATATTGGATTGTAAACCGAAAAATCATAAGGTGCAACTAACAATGCAATCTTCAGCTAATTACACCGTGAAGCGTTCATACTTTACATTTCTTAGATATAAGAATGTTTCTTCTTAGATTTGAACCATTGAAACCTATACCTAATCAATCAAAAATTATTTTATGTATTTCTTAACTGCTTCTCCTGGCATTTTTGAAATATTTCTCGTTTTTGTTTCCTGCAATTAGTGCAGTTAGTTAGAACTTTATTTTGTATATTATATCAGTCTTGTCAGTCTAGTCTATTTGAAAATAAGGATACTTGCAATGTCCGACGTAATTAGTTTAGTGAATGGTGTTGAAAATTTTTTACAAAGTAGAAATGTTGAAAATTTTGTCTGTTCTAAATAAATTAATAGTGCGTTAACTGCAAAGAAATAACTGTCCAGAGATAGTCTGCAAGTTTTTGTTTTTAAAGCTTATAAGACAATTAGTTATATATTCTGATCTCATTTAACCTTTTTGTTATACAATACATTAATATAGATTCATTACGATATCTAACCTAACTTACTTATCGATCATTAGCAAAAAATAGTTCATTACGACTGTTATCTTAGCGTTTTTATGTCAGGCTAATAAGAGTAATGACTTCAGGAACGTCATTTGGTGCGCACTTACAATAAATGCCAATTTGGATAGAAGTTCGTTTATTAGGTTGGGCCCCTTGAAGCCGTTGCAATAGTTGAATATATGAATGTAATTATTTTTTTTATATTTTATGCTAAATATTAAAGCATGTATTGCTCATTTTATAGCCACAGCTTTATTTTTATAATTTTCATTATTTGTATGTTGCAAGTTTGATATGCAATATTCGTTAAGGGATAATGTGACATTGTACATTATTAGTCACACGCATAATTTTAAATGCCTGCACAAACGAAATATTGGCTGACTTAAAAAACATTATAACAAAGTCATATATAATATTGTATACACACCCCTAAAGATAGATAAAAAATTACAACGAACACAATTTTATTAAAGACTAAACTAAATAGTTAATTATAATATAATATAAAAATATATAGACTAGTAAGGACCTACAGATTGAAATATATTCCGAATGCTTTTTTTAAACTTTTTAGTTTAAATTTTTATTTTGATTAATTGATAGAAAAATTTTGCACAATATATATATATATATTGATCATAGTAGTTAAATTATCACTGTCATGTTTATAAATACAAAATATTTGAGATCAAATCGAAAACGGACAACTCAAAAAAGTTTGAGCTATAATATCGTTATTAAGATAATAACGTTATTATATCTTCCTTTAATCTCGTCTTTCCACAGATGAAATTAAAGGACATTAACACTTGCAGATTTTGCAGAATATGTAATAATCCATATTTGTTACTCGTACCTCCTGTGACAGTCAGAAAGAGATCTGTGAATGAAAACCAGTAGTTATTGTTAAGCTTATTAATAGTCTTCAAGTAAGTTCGTAAGTTATAATATGGTATATCTGATAGACCGCGCTGATTGATACAACAATTCTACAAACGACAAAAAAAAATTCATTATAATAAATATTATTATAAAGCCGTATTCCATCAGGAACATAGACTATTTACATAGAATTGCTAGGTATTTCTGTTTAATGCTTAATATCTTAATTCGTTAAATGATTTATTAATTTCATGCGGGATTGTTCTACTCCAGGTAGTACGAGGCTTGCCGGGTCTTCTATTGCCTTGAGAATTCCATTGTAGGGCAGCATATGATTTAATAAATATGGTATTTTTTATATTTTTGGAATGATATTTTAAGAAAGTTATTAACTTTAAAATAGATAGTTTAAAAATATCAACTTAACTTTATTGACAAACTTCTGTGAAGTCTTTGTATACTCTAAACACTCTAAACTAGGAGAAAACTTAGTTTAGAGTGTTTAGGATACATTATTTTGTATAAGAAAACAAAATTGATTTGAAATATACCATATAAGGTTATATATTGGTTTGAAACTGTAATACAGCACTAAAACAGATAATTGTATCACTTTTTTTGTTTGTTTTCGTAGCATTATGTTGTTGTTGGCTTAAGATATCTTTATGAAACATAACACAATCCAAATCAAAGTTGAGGTTTCAATTTGAATGATTTGTTTAACAATTTATGAATATATTTTATTGTTTCATTTGGAAAATGCTTTTCCTATCTGTTTAAGTATTTGTGTTTGGTAAAAGACTTTTGTCGTTTACTTACCAAATTAGAATAATGAATAGTGATATAAGCATTTTTACCGCAGACAATTATAAGTAAGGCGGTTTGCAGCTCAATGTGATGAAAATTGAAACTTGGCTTATAGATGAGTAGAGTAGGCAACACGCTTACCAGTCCAATGCATTTATGGTAGATTACATTCACATTTATATATAGACGCATATATAAGTTTTTTGGTTTTGTTTTATAACCATAAATGTATCCATATACACGAGTAATTTACGAATGCAAAATCTTTCAAATATAGCAGCCTGGATCAAGTTACCCTTTGTGTGAACATTCTCATAAATGCTTAAATGGGTGCACGTTTGGATTGAAGAATATTATATACATATATATATAAATATATATATGAGTATAGTGATACTCATATAAAAATAAGTTCAACAAACTTTTTGGATATATATATAACATAATGTCTATACATATATCCAAACACAGTCTAATGAAATATATAAGTAGGACAATTATAAAAATTAATGAAGAGATCATTATATAAATTTCTGACCGATTAAGTGATTTTAATATAAAAAATATTTTGTATGAGATTGGTATGGGTTTTTCAATTTATTTATAAAATGTGTGGCTTGTACATCCTCCTTATATGTTTTAAGAGATTCTTTGTATTAAATAGTTTGCGTGATTCCTGCTTTTAGAGTGAGTTAAAACTAAGTGGTATTCAATTAAAAAACTAAGAAACATTAGGGAACATAATTAGAAAAAATATTCAGAAAGCATAAATATTATGCAGTTGCCATAATTGGTGAATGAAGAACGCCTCCATTGGTCTTTGGCATTTTTATTGCCTGTAGTTAGCATTCTAAAAATATTTATTAAGTAAAGAAAACTTAAGGTTTGCAACTTTGTTACTTTCTTTTTATTAAGCAAGCGCTCGCAGGGAACCGGTTTAGCTCGAAGCGTTTGTTCCCAGGACTGCGCATACACGCTTGCCTCTATGCAGTTGACAAGTGGGTATCGCGAACGAACACTTAAAATCAATCTGAAAATGAAATGAGATGCAAAACATCTTCCAGATAATTAGAAAAAAAGTAACAAAATAGAATTAAGGTACAAATGACATGCCAGCCAGTCCACATTCTAAACATTCTAAACATTCCTACACGCCAGCTATGCAAACGTAATTATCGATTTAAAATTCGAGCATGCACAAACTATAAATCGGTTAAGTCAGTCTTTTATAGGTAGGAATATCAAGAAGTATAATAGAAAAGAGAAGAGGATGTCTTTGTTGCTTCGTTCTAAAGAATTAATATGCATTATGTTTGGCTTGTGCATATGCCAAATAATAAATAACGCTGATATTGTTGTTAGCGGTCAAGGTCGCCGCCAACAAAATCGTGCTTCGCGCCCATACAACACATTCCAACAAAGATCAGCTATCGATATAAAGGATAAAATAATTGAGTTACAGTGTCATGCGAAATGTGAGGAAGGTTACATGCCACCAAGTCAGGTATTAAGCCCGGATAGCCATCAAATATGCTATAAGCAATGTAAACAGGAGACTATAAGGCAACAACGACGTGGCCAATGTCCAAATGTGCAATTTAAGCACTATATTTCTGAAACAGACAAATTATCCTGTTTAAATCACTGCAGTTATGACTCTGATTGTCCTGAGGTTCAGAAATGTTGCGAATCTTCTTGTGGCTATTCGGTATGTACAGATGTACCAGAAGTACGCGAAGACAATGTCCTACCACCTATCCCTAAAATATTGGATTGTAAACCGAAAGGTCATAAGGTGCAAATAACAATACAATCTTCAGCTAATTCCACTTATTATTGTCATGTCGAAGTTCGTTACCATATAGGTCAGTCGTTGGCAGACCGAAAATTTGGCAAATGGCAGTGGCAACTTGTTGAAAAACTTGCAGAAATTTCTTATACAAGGAGTAAGAGGTAAATGATTTTACATTAAAGTTATGTATTAATATGCTTATGTTTAAAATATTTTCGTAAGAATTGACGTAGCTTTTGATTTAAAACCCTCATGGTGGTATCAAGTTAGAGTTGCAGCCGTGAATGCTTATGGATTTCGAGGATATTCTGAACCATCCAAACCTTTCGCACTTACCAACAGTAAGTAATAAATTAAACATCTTACATAATTATATTAGTTTAATATTTATATGGTGGACTAGAAGTCATAAATAAGTTCTTATATAAATTTAATAATTTATTAAACAACTCTTGAGTTGATAGTTTTACCGTATATATGTATATATAGGTTGATGTTGAGCCTTTTCTGATTTAGTGCATCTGAGCAAGTTTTTTTAACATTGCAGTTTATTTCCATTACTTGTATAAAATTTTCAATATGTTGCTATATGTGTTATAGATAGTTAACTATAACAACGAATCATATACCATATTTCACATGATATATTATAGTTGAAAATCAACTCAATTCTTGTTTATTATTTTCCTTAAATTTATTACAAATCAACGCAATCTGAACATGTAATAACAGATTGTGGATTAGAAGTGTATAAAGATATACATATGTATATTAGTAAGCAGATCTTTTAAAGGCTATTATAACGCTTTCAAGTTTCATCACTTACTGTAACTTATTCGTTGCAAAGAAAGTACCAAATTTCTAGGGCGTCCTGACTTAACGATTAGATAAAAATCATCTATTGTGACTAACTTTTTCCGCTACTCCAAATTAGTTTACTTCTCCAGATATGAAGGTTAAAAGTTGGCAATTTATATATAAAAATTATGCCAAATGGTGTATCTACTTATCTAATTACTTATGTTGTTAATGCAAAAAGTGTATACATCAGTTAATATTAGATGGTGTGTGTAGTTTTCATTAGTATAATCAATGTAAAAAGTGAACAATTTTAAACTACGATGTCTTGATAAATAAGCTATATCGGCATATATCAGAGTGGACAAAGTTCTTTAGAACAGGTGGCGTTACTTAAATTCGTCCGCACCTTTGGTATTACCAATGACGATCTATTATTATTACCATAAGCAAATGAATCTATCAGAAGCCAGAGTAGAACAAATGTAAAAAACTGTGGTAGCAAAAAAAACGTTGGGATTATATGTTTTATATAACAACCCTAATTTTTAGTAGATATGGCGTGATGATATTTAATATTATGTTTTATTTATATATCAAATGTTTAATACTATTTAGACATTTGCAAAGAATTGGGACTTATATGCAATATGCGCTTAGTGATCTTTAATATACGAAATTTAAATAAATTTATTTGTATTTAATACTAACAATTTTTTATTGTTTTAAAATTTTTCTTCTAATCTTAGAGCCCAAACCACCTAAAGCCCCAGCAGATGTAAAAGTAGTAGCTGCACGCCTAGAAAAGAATTATTATACAGCTAGAGTCATTTGGTGCCCATCTAAGTCAAATTTACCTGTTGAGAAATACAAGGTTATGTGGTCGTTATATATTAAATCAAATACATCGGGACAGTCCCAGTCCCTCATTTCAAGTGAAGCCGATGTTAAAGATGTGAGCATACAAATTAATAATTTTACTAAAACGTCAAAAATAATATGTATGAAATTATGTAAATTCAATATTTTAAGGCACTTCATTATGAATTAACCAATTTATTACCGGAATCCAGTTACTACATACAAGTACAAGCGATGTCTATCAGCGGCAAACGCCGACTCAAATCAGAGAAGTTTTCATTTCTTTATAATACTACGATCGCAGCACATAACGGCCATAATTCGTTAAAATGTGGTCATAACCAACAGCCATTTAGACAAAAATACCTCAACAATAGTAACGCAAATGAGCTCCCATATAACAATTCTATGCAAAGGGCGAAGTTTATGGACAATGGTGTACAATCGAGCTATGAGGTACGATATCGCTTAAATAGAAAACTAGGCATGATTGTACAAATATCAGGATTTCATTCACATAAGGAAAAGTATGATGTAAATAATCACTTTGAAAGGCGTGAAATTTAATTCGCTTATGTGCTTTTATTGCAGAATTTATGAACTTTGCTCCAAAGATACGAATTGTGATCAACGTGAATATAACGCAATACGTGCCAAAGTCAGTATTTTAATAGTAATAAAACAATGGTTATAAGTCTAATGACACATACGTTTCTGATATGATTTGTACATAAACATGAACATAAAATATTATTAAAATAAACAATTCATGTATAAATTATTCAGCATTAAAGAATGCTCTGTCTATGTTAAAATTAGAGTAGAGTATAACCAGATCTGACGAGGCAAAGAAAATTTTTGAACACAAATATAAGTTTGATATATGGTATATGCAAACTTTATATATTATATAAACAATCATATCAGAAACAAGAAAGCAATGCTTATGTATTTGTTTTTGTAGTTTAATTTATATATTTGTTAATGTTGGCTTAAAATTCTTTTCAGAAGAACTCGTTGGAATTCAGCAAATTAAAGTACAACACGACTTATGTGCTTAAAATATTAAGTGTAGTTGATGATATTGATAAAAAGAATTTCTCCTTCACGACGCCTAAATGTGAAAATTTTCGGAAGCGTTTTCCGAAAGTCCAATTAAAATGTTAACACCTTAATAAATTAATAATATATGTAGAAACGTTAATAGGAAACAGTTTTTAAAAAAATACTTAACTATAATCTTAATATTCACAACAAAAATAAAACACAATTTTTATAAATAACTGTACATTTTATTATTCAAATAGTTTTCTAAACTTATCAATCGGTTCAGGTGGCTTCACGTCAACTGGGAAGTCATATGTCATTTCTTCTTCAAAAGCGCCAAGTAATTTGCACTTTTCAAGTGGAATATTTTGTTCAATTAATAGACCAATCAATCTCGTTGTTTCTAATACAGGACCTCCTACAATATGTAAGAAGTGGTTTTCTTTCTCCTTCTGCATACTGAATAGTATGCGTTTTGACACGAAGTCAGCATAATTGCTCACATGTCCAACGCTAATAAAACGTTTTTCAACTGGAGAATATGCTTCTATAACTGCACGTAGATTTTCAGAAATTTTTAAGTCACTTGCGTCTGCATATACTATACGAAAGTGTATATTAAGTGCTTTATAAAAATCTATAGCGAGGTTTAAAATTTCTTCCATTAACGCATCAGCTTCCTCTTGATTTGTCGCGGCAGCAAAAGTTTGTACGGCATTGGTTTGTATGGCGGTAAATAAGTTTTCAGTTGTTGCATTAGTTACATTGCGCGCTTTATGATAACTACGTCCGCTGCTTACACAACGCAAAGGTATAACATTCGGATAAACACATAACTTGGTCACTGCGCCAAGAAAACTTTCAAATGAACCCCCACCTACCAAATAAGATGGATTTAATTTATTTATCAAATTTTGTTCCATAACCATGTGATAATCATCCATTGGAGTAGCATTAGCCTCTAAGAGAATAGCGCGTACAAAATCTGGGTTTGACATTGGTATAAAATCACCGTCAAATACAAAATACCGTAGCAGCGCTTGAGTAGCTTTGTAATCAAACTCAGCAGCTTCCTCAAACAAATAATACCGACTATTATCTTCAAAACGTATCAAATCTGTACGCTTTAAATGCATTTCACCTTCCTCAATGCGAGGAACATTACTCCTGTACAATATGTTTTCTTCTCCATTACTTGGACAGTGCTTATGTAGTAAATTTGGAATATCTAAAAAGCTATGTATGAAATCATCTTCAATTGGATAGAACTTTTCCTTTAAACTCTTCACGCTGTTTCTTAACGATATTCCTTGCTCTTTTAATGCTTCAATTTCGCTGTTCCCTCCTTCAGACTAGAAGATAATTATAAGGTAAATACAATTCAACTTTTTTTAAAAGAAACCGCACCTTTGATAAATTTCTCAACTTAACGGCAATTTGTGCTCGTTGCTGATCCAACTGTTGAATCTCCTCCTTAAATTTGTTATAAGTTTTATACTTTTCCAATATATTACTTAAGTCTATACTTGATTTCCTTCGTGAAATGGAATTTTGCAGTTCCTCTCGATTCTGAAAGGTTTGTTTAAAATCCATGTAAGGATATATTATGGCATTGTTTTCCTTTGCCTTGTCTCCGGTAACATATAAGGCAGAAACTTTTCTTCGCTGGACTGTAATACTTTTAAAGATCATACGATTAACAAACGCTTGAGTATATATTTTTAACATTTTGAAATATTTATTTCAAATAATTGAATTTATACAACAATACCATGCTTCTTAATATGCATAACAAACACAGCTGTTTTAACAGCTGTTAATGTTGACAGAAGGTGTGCAGAAATAAAAATTTTTAAAATAAAAGTGCTGCCAAACTACGTTGACGTTTAAGCAAATATTTTTTGATAATTTCTCAAGCAATATGTGTCTTGATATTAGGAAAACAATTTTTTATAGGTGTAAAATAACCTATTCAAGAAACATAAGTGAGTCGTAATCTCAGAACCATGATTTAATAGTTTTCAAATGATAGTTTTTCTGGTTACATTCGGCAATTATATGTCGAAAAGAAAATAAAAATATAAATTATAAAAACAGGTTACACTAGAAACTTTAAAAGTGTTAATCGGTGATTTTCATAAATTTCTAGAAATCATTTTGGATAGAAAAATTTTGAAAACAACAAACAAATAGACAACACCCACAAATCGCTCAATAATGATATTTTACTTGTGCCGTGTAAATAAGCAAGTACCTTGCTTAAACCCTCGAAAGTTAATCATACTTTTTCTGTATTTATTGACCGAATTAACTAACCGAAAGGGATCGTTTATTATTAGAGTTAGATCTCTACTTTTATATTATATTACCTTTTAGTAATATAGAGTTAATGATGATCCAATACTATTTATGCTAGATTATGAAAACGTATTTGAAAATGGGATAACAGTTTAGCACAACGGTAAAATAGATTCTTAACTGATACATTGTTATTGCATAACATTTGATCGAAAATTATTTATTGTATCTGAAGTTTTTTTCTTTTTAAAAACGATTTAATTTAAAACTCTTTTTTTATAAGCACCGCTTAACTTCATTTAGATTTATTGCGACCTATATTTAATATTAAAATAGTTTTAACAAGTTCCAATATATTTAATTAAAAAGTAATATGTAGTATATGGAATTATACAAAAATTTTAAGTTAAAATAAATTTTCGGAATCTACACTAACCTTTTGAAACTGTTTTTTATGCTAGAAAAATCAACAGATTTCGGTAGCAATATAAAAATATATATATTGAATATTATAACACCTGGAAAATTAATTATCTAATTGTTTAAATCTATTAATATTTTAATACAATCTATTAATATATTTTTCACAAAATAATATTTATATGCGCATATTATCCTTCGGATCAACTTAAAATTTTATTGTATTATTTAAAAAAATAAATGTTTACAAATATTAATAAATAACACAATTTTAAAAAATAATACAGAGAATTTAATAAACATTTTAAACGACGCTATCAATCGATAGCAAAGGCACAAAAAAAATTAACAATGAATTAGATAAATACTTATGTACATAAGTTACTGAGCACAATCACTTAGCTTGTTGCAATGTCTGCACAAATGACGGCGGAGGTTTGAAATTAATAACTTCGTTATAGACTAGTTCTTTCCATTTTTCAACTGGCAAATCCATATCTTCAAAACTTTGATCATATAAGGGTGATGTTTGTTCATCACTGGGTTCGGAATATTTCTCCATATACGGATGCGCTAAAGCTTGTTCAGCTGTGATACGTTTTTCAGCATCCAGTTCCAACATTTTTTCTAGCAAATCAATAGCCAAAGGATTTGCTCCTTTGAAAACATTTTTAAAATTACGACGCTTCATTGGGGGTAACGATTGTATGTAATTTCTTGCACTTTCAGAAGAAATCTTTTTCATGAAGTCATCAGGTGGAGTACCAAGTACTTCCATAATTAAGTTTAATTGATGTATATGATCAGTGCCGGGAAACAGTGTATGCCCTGTAAGTAACTCTGCCATAATGCACCCTACAGACCATATGTCAACAGTTTGATTGTAATGCATCCAGTTGAGCATAATTTCAGGTGCGCGATACCAACGCGTAGCTACATATCCTGTCATTTCGTTTTCGGTTGGACGTGCTAAACCAAAATCTAATATACGTAACTCACAATCCTCATTCACAGCAATATTGGAAGGTTTCAAATCTCGATGTATAATACCGGCACTATGGATATATTTGAGACCTCGCAGTATTTGGTATACAAGAAATTGTACATGATCATCGGATAAACGTTGGGTACGTATAATGTTATTCAAATCAGCATCCATGAGATGCGTAACCAAATAGACTTGTTGGAAATTTTCCAATGTTACATTTATGGGATGCGGATGAAAAACGTCTAACAGACCAATGACATTTTCATGATCCATATGTTTCAAAAGTCGCAGCTCACGATAAGTACGTTTTGCATGTACTGCTGATTGAAATGGACGGGCCAGCTTTTTTATCGCCACATACATATTTGTACCCTTGACAAGCGCTTTACACACCTGGCCATATGCGCCAGATCCAACAGCTTGTAATTGCTGATAGATTTCTGGAATTTCCCATTCTGTACGATTTATTTCCAGTTTGTAAAATTTATGCATTTTTAATTAATTTCTTAATACTTGTAAAATTAAAAATTTAATTTTATTTCATTAAATATACAATACACGAACAATAATATTCAGCTGCTGATTAGAGTTATCTTAAAGTTATTAAGCACTTTATACGTAAATATAGTATAAAAAAACTCTTTGATTCATAATATATAAATATAAAATTAACACAAACACACCTTAAAGAACTATTTTCATTACGAAATGTGAGCAATTCTAGGGTTGCCTCGAACTCGCACAAAGAACATTATGATTAAAAACCAAAAACTACTAATTTGTCTTTACTCATCTACTACATATAATGCTTTATCTGATTAACATATAATAATCATTGAAATTAAATACAATTTTTGATTTAAAACAGTATAATAATTATCAAAAAGTCGATGGAGTTTTATTTAAAACTATTATCACATTTGTGATAAATTATAAGATATATATAGTATATAATTTATTAATCTCAAAACATTCTTCAACATTTTTCTTTATAGTTTTAATCATTGTGAGAGGGTATGACTAATATGATAATTTGAATTGATTAATTATTACATAATTAAGAACTTGACTTACAAATAATTTCCAATTTCCTCTTTTTCTGGCCATATATCGTTATTCGTTAATCGATTTGGATGTTTCCCGTTTTATTGTACGTCTTCAGGGCGTTCTAGGTCTTCATACACTTCTTTTACCTTGAGGTTTCCATTTTAGCGCAGCGTGCGAAATTGCTGATCTGTCTTTACGTAGAGTATGGCCCAGCCAACCGTATTTGCGCTTAATTATTTTTTTACTGATCTCCGTCTGATTTGTGATACACCATATTCGTTCATTCGTGATTATTCTTGGCCACCAGATTCCTACTATCCTTCTTAGGCGCGATTGATAAAGGTTTGTAGTTTTCCATTGTTAAAATGTAACAAAATGTAATTTGTATAACATACAAACATATAAAACAACAATAAACCTTTATTTTAGTATCTAATACTGAACAAAAATTTTAGAGGATACTACTTTAGAGGACGGTCAGCTATATGATCATGTATTTTGAATGCATCAATTATATATATTTGAATACGTACACAGAGACTATACTTGAAATGCTTGACAAATATCAAAATAATTAAAATAATTAAATGACTAATTTCAAAAAGAAATTATTCTAGATGTATCAAACATCAGATACAGACAACAGTGTCACAATTTAAAGAACATGTAAAAATCAACCACACTTAACATGTTTATGTCCCACATTACAAGGCATTTAGTGCCTTTAATAAAATAAACATGAGGATGGTAGCTGAATTGATTATTATAACTATAAAGGATGGTATTCAGTAGTTTTATTAGCTGTAGTGAATTTCAGGTATGTGAGTTATTATTTTTCATTTTATTTTAAATGAATAACAGTTACAGTTTTATCTCTATATTGAAATTTAAAAATCTGCACTACTTTTAAAATATATTCGCGGCTATATTAAAGTCAACTGTCACTGACATTAATTTATAAAAATGCCTTTTTTCGTTATCTTAAATTTATCTTATACTTAAAACTGAATTTTGTAAGGAAAAAACAACTTAATTTCGCTGAAACGAAGATAAAATTAAGATTTTTGTAAAATTAAGAACTGTCTGAACATAGTATAAGAAATATGTTTAATATAAATTTTAATATTGCTTAATTTATATACATAAATATATTGAAATCTTATTAGACATGAAAGTTTTTTTTTGGTTTTTTAATGAAATAGTATTACTTATGACCCACTCACTCCACTTTATCTTTTGCTACATGCGCACACTGCTAATGACTACCACCGGTTTTTCGTTTTTCATCCCCCCGCATTGTTATTATTTTTTTAACTCAACAAAATGATAATTACTGCATAAACTGTTAATGTGAGAATGTTTTATTTGCTATAATTTTTATGTTTTAACACCACTTTTACTTAATTGTACATTGTTTTTGCGAATGCTTTTATTAGAGTTTTTATCTTTAAGTTGATTTTGAAGATAAGCTGGTAAACATTGTAGAAGTTCTATCAACTGCTGTGGCAATGTTATCAGTATTGACTCGTACCGCGTAACGTTTGGATCGTTCGTTTTGAGTGTCCAATAGAAATCTGTGCCTTTATTTATTTAAAATTTTATCGAAGTACCTGACGGTGAGTTAACTGAAAAATTAAATACTATTTTTTTTATTATTTCCAAATGTAAAACGTGTATGACCTACCTATACCATTTATAGTATAAAATTAACAATTAACACACAGCCAAACATTAAAATCTAACGCCTGATCATCTCTCATAAACTTTTGTTAGGTATGCACGATTGACCTTTGGTCTGCAAACTAAAATAAATTTGTATTGTGAATTTATTTATATTACAATTGATTTAGGCTTTTATAATTGTAATCTTGAAATATCATTAATTATAAAACAAAAATTACAATCATTTTTAAAAATTAGATTTTAAATAAGACGAGTCAAGAATAAACCGGGAATTAAAATGCAATAATATGGGTTATAGATATCTTCAAGAAGCGGTGAAAGTAAAGTCCATAGTTAACATTTTATAGCTTTTATAAATTATTATTATTATAATCATTATTATTATAAATTTTATTATTATAGTGATTTTATATAAATAAGATTATATAAAGTACTCCTAAGCTAAAAGTTTTTACAACTACTACTAGATTAGATTAGTTATATGCTTTTGATATGAATATATATATGCACATGTGTGCTTAAAATTAAAATTATAAGATTAGAGGTCTAACTTTTGAACTCTTAGTTTTGAGTTGGTTGTTAATATTCGTTTACACTTTTGAACATTAAAATTTTTTAGGAACATATGCATGTATGATTACAATGCATTTTTTAATAATGCATTCAGCTTCGAATAAATTATTTGCATAAAATATGTAACAAAGTTAATCAATGAAATATATTATGCTTTTTTACATTAAAATTCGAAAGTATATGTGAATAAAAGATATAAGTTTCTCAAACTTAGAATATATTTGGAAAAATTAATTCGCAAATAATTAAATTATATATTATATTGTATAAATAAAGTTAAATTTGTAGCTTGTGATATCTTAAAATTTTCATATCTATAACTGCGACTTTTCATATACTGTTCATTAGAAGACTGTAGAGTTCATATTGCAATAAAGTGTTTATATCTTTAAACTGTAGAATTTCTTACACTGCCAAGCTTTCGCTTTTCCTATTTAAGCGTGATTATTTCTAACTAGTTTTGTATAAGTTAATTTCAAGTTTAATATTCGGACAATTGGAACATGACATCGCTATATATAACATAAATTGTTATTCTTAGTGTTTGATATAAAGTTCAATCGAATTTCACATCGACCAACAATTATATCTATATATAAAGTATTCCATATTAAATACATATTAAATTTGTACAAAATAAGCTCTTTGAAAAATATTACAGACAAATATATATACAAAATATTTATGTTAAAATAACACCGCAATTACAGCGAAACGAAGTTAATTTCGCCATAAATATTCTACTTTTGATACATACCTATACAATTCAAAGAAAAATTTGCTAAAAACAATAATTAATATTTTCTATACAACGTAATATATAATGAGCAGACCTTGTTTTGAAATTTCTTGCAATAACATTGCTGATTTGTATTTAGTGTACTAATTCTTACACTTTGATACTTTCTTACACTATGATAAGTACCTAGTCGTGATTATCTCATTAAAATAACATGCCTTATAATACTTAAATATTAATCATTTGAAAAACTAATGTCACTAATTTGTACTCACATTGGAGTTTCAAATATTATTTGTGCTGATCACAACTTCAGCGTATGATATTATAACTTTTGATATTCAAATACAGTTGTGCTCCAGCGTTTGGCTTAAGGTGTTCAATAATATCAAATGAGAATTGCATGAGTAACTCAAAAATCTTTGAGGAGTTTGAACATTTTGAAGCATTAATCTTATACATAAATGGAATGCATTTACAATAAAATAAATTATTACATATACCCGTATTATGTTTTTCAGATAACATCACAAACATGTCCACCTTATTACCAGGCAATATTGTCTATGGAGGCCCAGTCCTTAACACTGAAACTCACAGCTACAGATCCTTAGGACATTTTGTTTTAGAAAAATACAAGAGTTACGGTGACAAAGTTATGATGGTAAATTAATAGTTTTAATTAATAGAAAATTCTATTATATTTTGTTTTAAAGATCGACGCAGTTACTGGTGTGGAGTACACAGCAAAATTTATATACGATTCGATTGTACGTTTAGCTAATATTTTAACGAGTATGGGCGTTAAAAGCGGTGATGTTGTGTCTATCTCAAGTGAAAATAGTGTTGAGTTCGCCATTGCACTTTTTGCAACTTTTGCATTAAATGCTACTGCGGCGCCCATAAATGTGACTTATTCAGAACGTAAGATTTTCGATCTATGATCAAAAGATTGTTGACAGATTACTTTGTTTTATTTTAGGAGAAGTCGATCATGCCATTAATTTATCTAAGCCAAAAGTTATTTTTGCTTCGAGCCAAACAATCGACCGCATTATTAAAGTAGCAAAGAACAATGCTTTTGTAAAGATTGTGATATCATTCAATTCAGCTCATGGAAGTAAAGAAGCTAATGTATATTCTTATAAGAATTTAATGGAAAGTAAAAACATTACCGTAAATGGAAACTTTGATCCTCCATCTTGCAACAGGAGTGAAGATGTGGCTTTAATAGTATGCTCTTCTGGTACAACTGGCTTACCAAAAGGTGTACAACTAACTCAGAATAACATTTTGACTACGTTAGATTCTCAGTTGTAAGTATATATGAAATTCAAATTAAGAATTAATTTTTATATGTTATCATTGTAGAGAACCAACCGCAATACCTTTAGGCGACATCAATTTACTGACTGTTATTCCTTGGTTTCATGCATTTGGATGCTTAACACTTATTACATGTTCCTGTCTTGGTACATGTTTGGTATATTTACCAAGATTTGAAGAAAGAAAGTTTTTAGGTGCCATAGAGGTTAGTTCACTGTATTTTATATTTCAATACGATGAAATGATGATGATGTACACATATTTGTAGAAATATCGTATTGTTATGGCTTTCATGGTACCACCTTTGATGGTTTTTCTAGCCAAACATCCTTTGGTAGAAAAATATGACTTATCGTCGTTATTAGCTTTGTTGTCTGGAGCCGCTCCCCTTAGTAAGGAAACGGAAGATCAAATCAAGGAAAGGTAGCTATTTGAAAGCAATACAAAGAAGTTCATAAATAAACACTAAGTTGTTGGATAAATATTCGTTTTTAGAATCGGTGTTCCCATCATACGTCAAGGTTATGGATTGAGTGAAGCAACTTTAAGTATATTAGTTCAAAATGATGATGCTTGTAAGCCTGGCAGTGTTGGTGCGCTCAAAAAAGGACTTTATGCAAAAGTTATTGATACTGAAACTGGTCGCATATTAGGTGCAAATCAACGTGGCGAACTTTGTTTTAAAGGAGACTGTATTATGAAAGGCTACATAGGTGACACCAAAGCTACGCAGGGTGCTATAAAAGATGGTTGGTTACATACCGGAGATATTGGTTACTATGATGATGATTTTGAGTTCTTTATTGTCGATCGCATAAAGGAATTGATTAAGTACAAAGCTTTTCAAGTACCACCAGCAGAAATTGAAGCAATTCTATTGACACATCCAAAAATAAAGGATGCCGCTGTTATTGGTAAACCTGATGAAGAGGCTGGAGAGTTACCAATGGCTTTTGTGGTGAAACAAGCTAATGTACAACTCACTGAAAAAGAAGTTGCAGATTTTGTAGCAGAAAATACTTCGTCGCCAAAGAGGTTACGGGGTGGTGTGTTATTCGTTGATGATATCCCTAAAAACCCGAGTGGTAAAATTTTGCGACGAATTCTAAGAGATATGATTAAAAATCCCAAATCAAAATTATGATCATTTAATAAAAAAAATTAAATTTGGCTTACATGTTAAATACAGCGGTTATGGAAATTGATTTTATACATATTTAAAGAAATTTATACCAAATAAAACAAAAAGTAAACAACTTACCAAGTTCTTATTCCTCAGCTTATAAAGACCATAAAGACAGAAGTTATAACAATTACACATTCCAAATTTTAAAGGTACTAAATTAAAAAATGAAATATGAAAATGAATCAAAGAAGTTAAACCGAAAGTACCCTTCAAACTTTGATTAAATGTAATTGTTGATAGCGAGATATGCACATGAGTAATGGAAAATAGTTGATAAATAAGGCAAGCTGCATAGAAAATATGTTGACAAATTAGTTCTGTTAGAGTACGTACGTGTAATGGAGATAAAGTAAGGAGTACCTTGATTTTATTATTTTGCGTTTACGTACATAAAATATTAAAGATAATTTGTGAGAGCTAACAGGTTTATCCCGTACCATCCGAACTTTATTTACATTTTATTTATAATAAAAAGACGGACATCTGAAAAAAGCAAAAATATGGATTTACACGACGTGTCATTGTAATCTGATTGTCAGATAACAGTTTTGTTTAATTTTGTATGAAAATTTCATTCATTCCCCAAAATTATTCACAATAGCACAAGTTTGTACTGTACAATACTGTACTAAGGTGAAGTGTCCAAAATAAATCAACTTGAATTTGAAGAAATTACGATTTATGTAATTATATTTTTAGTTGTTAAAATTCCTATACAAAAGAGAGCTAACTTCTAATTTTAAACTTGTTTTGCTTTCGAAATCAGGAATAATTTAAAATGACAGCTAAAATTACAGTCAAAACACTCGTTTGAATCCAGTATTAACAGTCGCAACAATTGTATCGTATAAGTAACAGTCGATTAATGCTCGCTAAAACGCATCTAATTCAAAAGAAACAAATATCCTTGAAAGTAGTAAGAAATTGTTTGAAGATGCGAATCGAAAAAAATAATTAATTACTAATTAGTCGCTTTCTGATAAATGTGTTGCTTCTTTATTATTTTATTTTGATAGTAATGTTGCATTTAAATGATAATAATATATTAACAATATAAGCTGATCTGGGATTAGTTATATTTATGAACAGTTAAGATCAACTTCCGTTTTTTAAAAAAATTAATATACATTATTACACAATATTTTTATTAAAAATACCCCCAGATGACATGATTGTATTTAAAATGTATTAAACACTTTATACTGCCTACAAAAAAAATTTCTTTGAAGTTCCTATGTAGAAAAGAGGCGATATTTATTACTGCTACATTGCTACATTGCTCCATACCGATTTGCTATACTTAGTTGCTGTCACTACCAAGTTATTACATGTAGCGAAAACATGTTGGTTAAGTTAAATTAGAGTGACGTCCTAGTATAACAAAGCCCACTTAAGCTCAAATTATAGCGCGTTGTGATATGACGAAGTTGCGTTGTTCATGCGTACATTAGAAGGGTCCATAAAAGGACCGTAGTGTTCAGCGTACAGAATATGCTGAAAGCCATTACCCCCATTTAAGTAAAAGTGAACCAATTTGACATGTCTATGAACTTGAACTTGCCTAAAAGTTTTTAATATTTTATTTGCCAAAGATGGGCATTGATAAGGATATAAAGTAAGGATTTTATCTCTACTTATACAAGGTCTTCATAGCATTTTTTACTATTAGACATTGACGATCTCTCACCGTTACCGTAGTGTTGAGCAGATTCCACTTTAATTGAAACAGCTGTTTGGCACATTTCTTGCCCAGCTGGAACCAACTAGATTTCGAGATCTGACAAATCTGAAATCTGTTCACCTGTCCAGGTTTTTTTAGCTATACTCAGATTTTATTGATTAATTGGCAGCTTAGTCGTTGCTAATGGCATCCCAATATCCGAAAAATAAATGCCAGAAAGCAGCATACCTGCTTGGCAAGTTCGTCTACCTTGAAATTACTAGAGATGTTCCTGTGTTCAAGTACCCATGTGAGTTGGAGACTGACATGCCAACTTGTGTTAATTTCTCGTTAAGAGAAACCCGCCATTCTCGAACTATTAAGGATGTAGCTGTAATGGGAGATTCTAAAAACCAATTTATAGGAAAAATTGATACTGTCGACCCTTTCGCTACTTTTAAAGCGAAAGTTTTAGCGAAAAAGTTTATACCGTGTTAGCAGAAACTACTCTATCTAGAGTTCAAATATTCATTTTTCTTAATTAATTAACCGCCTTTTACGTTGGCATGTCGCTTTACTCTCTACATTAATCTCTACATCAATTTAACAGACTGACAATAACTATCTGAATGTTAAGTTTATTTTCTGAGCTATATTCCATATTTGTATTTTAATTATACAATGTACTTAGATGCAGTAAAAAGTTTTAATTGCTCCTTTTTTTCTGTTTTTAATGTTAACTATCGTTATTGAAGCTATATCAATCGCTGCGGTAATGTTATATATTAGTGTTTTCTCGTATCTCGTAACATTCGGTTCGGTTCTTTCAGGTGTTTTATAAATAAACGAACCTGTGACTTTATTTCTTCAATTTCAATCGGAGTACCTAACGGTAACTAATTAAATTTATTAATTATTATTTTTTTAACTTTTATATAGGAAGAGATATTTCATTCATTAAGTATTAAGAAGTTAACATTTTTTTATATTTTATAGATATAAATAAAAAATAGAATTTATATACAAATTTTAATGTGTAATCCAGCTGATCTTTGGATTCAAAAAAAAATTATACATACATATATATTATTTTTATTGTTATTTATTTATAGTGAAGTTAATTGCTAATTACAATTATTAAAGCTGAAGTTCAAAGTCAGCATATCAAAGTAGAGATAAAACGAAAAATATTAATTTTATTGTGTTTTAAGTTACTTGGTTTCATATTGAAGGATATATATTATAATATATATATATTATATATATACTGATTATATATATTATTATATATATAAATATATATATAAATTATATATATTTCATTTTATTTTTACATCCTTATATATCTTATCCTTATATCCTTTTATATATATATAATAGTCCTAATAATAGTCCTAACAAAGTTAGTCATTATCTAAAAAAAATATACTTCATAATTGAATTGGCTCATTTATAATTTTATAATATAAACTCCATTAAATTAAGATCAATTAGTTAACTATTACACATATACAAGCTTCCTTATATGTAAATGAAATACAAAAAAAAAAAAATTTTTAATAAAATAATAATTATAGTAATTATAAAAGAGTAACTTCAATTAATTAATTGTTGCATATAAATACAAAATGTATGTTTTTCAGACACCATCATAAATATGTCAACCTTATTACCAGGCAATATTGTCTATGGAGGCCCAGTCCTTAACACTGAAACTCACAGCTCCAGATCCTTAGGACATTTTGTTTTAGAAAAATACAAGAGTTACGGTGACAAAGTTATGATGGTAAATTAATAGTTTTAATTAATAGAAAATTCTATTATATTTTGTTTTAAAGATCGACGCAGTTACTGGTGTGGAGTACACAGCAAAATCTATATACGATTCGATTGTACGTTTAGCTAATATTTTAACGAGTATGGGCGTTAGAAGTGGTGATGTTGTGTCTATCTCAAGTGAAAATAGTGTTGAGTTCGCCATTGCACTTTTTGCAACTTTTGCATTAAATGCTACTGCGGCGCCCATAAATGTGACTTATTCCGAACGTAAGATTTTCGATCTAGGATCAAAAGACTGTTGACAGATTACTTTATCTTATTTTAGGAGAAGTCGATCATGCCATTAATTTATCTAAGCCAAAAGTTATTTTTGCTTCGAGCCAAACAATCGACCGCATTATTAAAGTAGCAAAGAACAATGATTTTGTAAAGATTGTGATATCATTCAAATCAGCTCATGAAAGTAAAGAAGCTAATGTATATTCTTATAAGAATTTAATGGAAAGTGAAAATATTACCGTAAATGGAAACTTTGATCCTCCATCTTGCAACAGGAGTGAAGATGTGGCTTTAATAGTATGCTCTTCTGGTACAACTGGCTTACCAAAAGGTGTACAACTAACTCAGAATAACATTTTGACTACGATAGATTCTCAGATGTAAGTATATATGAAATTCAAATTAAGAATTAATTTTTTTACGTTATCATTGTAGAGAATCAACAGCAATACCTTTAGACGACATCAATTTACTGACTGTTATTCCTTGGTTTCATACATTTGGATGCTTAACACTCATTACATGTTCCTGTCTTGGTACATGTTTGGTATATTTACCAAGATTTGAAGAAAGAAAGTTTTTAGGTGCCATAGAGGTTAGTTCACTGTATTTTCTATTTCAATACAATGAAATGATGATGATGTACACATATTTGTAGAAATATCGTATTGTAGTGGCTTTAATGGTACCACCTTTGATGGTTTTTCTAGCCAAACATCCTTTAGTAGAAAAATACGATTTATCGTCATTATTAGTCTTATTATCTGGAGCTGCTCCTCTAAGCAAAGAAACAGAAGATCAAATCAAGAAAAGGTATAATAAAAGCATTAAAAATTTGAGTTGCTTATTATATTATTTGCTTTTAGAATTGGTGTTCCCATCATACGTCAAGGTTATGGATTAAGTGAATCAACTTTAAGTTTATTAGTTCAAAATGATGATGCTTATAAGCCTGGCAGTGTTGGTGCGCTCATAACAGGAGTTTATGCAAAAGTTATTGATACTGAAACTGGTCGCATATTAGGTGCAAATCAACGTGGCGAACTTTGTTTTAAAAGCGATTTCATCATGAAAGGCTACATAGGTGACACCAAAGCTACTCAGGGTGCTATAAAAGATGGTTGGTTACATACCGGAGATATTGGTTACTATGATGATGATTTTGAGTTTTTTATTGTCGATCGCATAAAGGAATTGATTAAGTACAAAGCTTTTCAAGTACCACCAGCAGAAATTGAAGCAATTCTATTGACACATCCAAAAATAAAGGATGCCGCTGTTATTGGTAAACCTGATGAAGAGGCTGGAGAGTTACCAATGGCTTTTGTGGTGAAGCAAGCTAATGTACAACTCACTGAAAAAGAAGTTGCAGATTTTGTAGCAGAAAATACTTCATCGCCAAAGCGGTTACGCGGTGGTGTGTTATTCGTTGATGATATCCCTAAAAACCCGAGCGGTAAAATTTTGCGACGAATTCTAAGAGATATGATTAAAAATCCTAAATCAAAATTATAAACATTTAATAAAAAAAATTAAATTTGGCTTACATGTTAAATACAGCGGTTATGGAAATTGATTTTATACATATTTAAAAAAATTTATACCAAATATAACAAAAAGTAAACAACTTACCAAGTTCTTATTCCTCAGCTTATAAAGTCCATGAAGAAAAAATTATAGCAATTGACACATTCCAAAATTTAAAGGTATTAAATAAAAAAATAAAACACGAAAATGAATAAATTAGTTATGTAGAATCAAAGAAGTTAAACCGAAAATACCCTTCAAACTTTGATTAAATGTATTTGCTAATAGCGAGATATGTACATGAGTAATGGAAAATAGTTGATAAATAAGGCGAGCTGCATAGAAAATATGTTGACAAGTTAGTTCTGTTAGAGTACGTACTTGAAGTGGAGACTTAAGAGTACCTTGGATTTTATTATTTTGCGTTTGCATACACAAAAATATTGAAGAGAAATTGTATAAATTAAAAGGTTTTGAAATTTACATAAAAAACATCAAAAACATTTGAAATTTACATGCAATATATGGTCAAAATGCTAAAACTTAATATTGGATTACTTTTTTTAAGCTAGATTCATTAAGCTTTATTCATTGAAGAATAAAAACGTCTATAAGTAATTTTAATTCGTAATGAAGATATGTTTAATATCTGATTTAATTACTTTCGTAAATGGTGGAATGGTGCAGAGTTTCACTTTCAACTTTTATGTTAAGGAAAACTAGAAATAATGTTATAAATAAATTATTCAGAAATATTACAAATTGTAAGTATCTGGAAGTTTTAGTAAATCGACTAGTTAAATAAGATATAACTTCATTTAAAACAGTGGCGTAACTACATTTTTTAGGCCTGTAAGCAAATTCTAACTAAAGGGCCCCTATCAACATACTAAGGGGCCCCTCTTTTTATACTCTTTACACGAAAAATGTGAAAAGGGTATATAAGGTTTGTCAAGATTTTCGTAACGTATTAAAGGAAACGTCGGAAATATCATTAAGTATATATCAGTACAGTATATATATACTTTTTCAGTTCAAACTACTCTCTCAGCTTTTGAACTCTTCGAATGAAACTTTACACACATACTTTTAGCCGACCCTGTTCACCATTTGATTTGATTGAAATTTGACGTCTATTTCTTGTAGCTGTGATATAAACTTAACAATCGGATATGAGGTTTCTCCGTTTTTAATAAAGGTATTTAAATAGAATTTGGTGTATACAGTACTGATATTTGCAAAAGACAACGTACAAAATTATTTTCAAATGGGTTTAAATCTAGATATAGCTTCCATATAAACTCTCGATTAAGGCACATACTTTTCTTAGAAAAACCTTTTTATTTTATAAATAGGTTTAATATTTTATTTGAAGTACATACATATTATGTACTTTAAATTTAAAATTTACGTATCTTTTATAAAATGCAATATGAAGTTATTCCAACAAAAAACGTTTACAAACATTTACAGTGGGGCCCCCTATATTCGGGGGCCCGAAAGCGTTGCTTCCAGTTGCTTCCCTGTAGTTACGCCACTGATTTAAAATGAACATGTTTATTATTACATATTTTAACTTTCTTTACCAAAATATACATTTTTCAGCTCTTAATCACTAAAACTTCGTTGTGTGGCTATATTATATTGCAGAACAATTATTTTATTATCCATAATAAACTTTTCTTCCTCGAAAAACCATCAGAAATACTGACATATGTATTCAATTTCCACAATGATGAGATGATTTTTCTAAATAGATTTATAGTTAAATTTAATTCTAATGATAAACTCTTCTAGAATTTTAGTAGTTAATGTCATTTCTCGCACGTAGATATTTATCAGGGCGGTATGCAGGAGGAGTTTTGCAAACCAATTTAAAGGTTATATAAAAACTATAAATTTAAAAGGATCATATATATCTAGTGTAAAATGGTCCAAAATATTTTAGATATGTATCATACCTTATACATGCACTTGGCCTTTACAATTCCGAAAATACAATTAATATATTAATTTTGGATTATATTAATTTCATTTATGGACATAAGAAATAATATTAAAATCCCAACAAAACAATTAGTTGTTGGTTAAGTATTATTAAACTCACTTCTCATATACAATATTAACGTCACAACATATATATGACGTTTGTTACTTATAGAAATGATTGACCTTAATCTTCTCTTCAAAAAGCTCATAGTTGCCGTTTTGTTGCCTGCACTATTGATAAAGGAGATTATGTTTTTAAAATTGGGGTATTTGCAAAGAAAGTATTCAGTTGTTCTTTTTTCTCTTCTTCCCAGTTGTTCTTGCACACACATATCCTTTAAAGTAATACTCAATTTTTCAGCGTAAATGCTATATGATCAGCGGTCTCTGCCCAATAGAATTACTGTTTTTCATAAATTGTATCTTGGCCATGTTATTGCGGTTCTTTTACAATCCATCGTAGATCTTTTTATGTTCCTGTACTTTTAAAAAAAGATTACGCGTTGGAACACAGATCAATGGTATTGTGTACTGATTACTCACTGAATTTAGTTGAATTTTATATTGTTTTACTAGCTTTGATTTTGTAGTATAGTTGAACAGTGCGAGAACAGAACTGTACAATTGGAGGAAATTGCAATCTATTGATTTTGTATGTTCCTTTCCAAAATCAGCTCACCTGCCTTAGCGGTAGCAAAAATTTTAACTTGGAAGAGACAGCACACGTCCGTCCTTATATTATTATAACTTTTTGTGCCTAAGTTTTTTTAATAGTAAAAAATATGTATATGTGTTTGTTACGTATATAAGTTACACAAAACTTAGATTACAAAGTAATAGTTATAACTGCGGATATTTTCAAAGAAGTATTGTCAACATAAAGGAAACAATTTTGAAAAAAAAATTGAAAAATTAATAGTAAAATTAAAAGTAAAAGTAAAGTGAAAGTAAGTAAAATTCTATAAAAAATATAGGCTCCTGAAACCTGTCCTATTAAATCAAATTATGTACTTATCAACTTAGATGTCTGCTTAGCTATCACTTTTTTCGAGGTATAACACTTCGCTTATTATAATATAATATATAACACATGTTATTTTTATTTAAAACCAATAGTTTTTATTTTTAATTATTCATTATTACGGCAGACTTGACTGATTTTTGTTATATGTAATGTATAATGCTATGCTCATGTCATATTTTCTTTTCGTTTTTACATGTAATTATTATACAACTGATATAATCATTTTAAATATATATAAACTATATACTTGTATACATATATTTAATATACTTGTTATTTATTTATTTATTATTATTTTCTTTCTTTCAAATATGTAATAGAACATTTTTTCTAAATTTGATTGATTATATTATTTATTTTATTAATAGGTTCTTAGTTTGACTAATCAAATATTAATATAATTTATTTAAAATACTCTCTATGTCTTTATATCTTTAACATGGTATAAATAACTACAATCGGTAATAACAATATGTTTAAATTTTCATTTATACTTATACTGTTCTATTTGGTTCTAAGTTTGTAAATATAGATCTCTAAAGATTTGCATTCTATATAATAGCTAGTTTAAAATTTAATCTAATTAAAATCTAATTTATTATTGACATTTATTGAAGTAGAGTAGTAGAATCCGAATTTTATTTGAAAATAATATTTAATTTTCATTTAATAAAGTAGTTCTTAAAGGTTTTTATTGTAGTTGAAACCTCATTCCTTTTTTACTTTAATAATAATATATTTAAATGAAAAATAAAAATCATTTTGAATTTTTATAAAAAAGTAAAATATTTAATATGTTTGTAATTATTTGTAGGGAATTTTTTTTTATTGATAAAAATTAATTAGGCTTATGTGAACGTAAAGAAAATTATATATTAATTTTTATTTTATTTATTTCATATATATTTCTTATAATATATAATATTCTGCCATGAGGAAGAAGTTAAATAAAGTTTAAAACGTTGGCGGATGTTTATATATAAAACAATTAAATAAAATGTTAATTATTAAATAGTTTTTACGTTCATATAAGCTTTATCAACAAATAGATCGTTAAATAAAAATTTATATTTATAGCATATTAAGCAATATTATTTTTAAAAAGCAACAAATAGTACCACTCGCACTCTTCGAAATGCTACATCACTCTTATAACTAATAATTAAAAACTAACTTTTAAATGCTTGCGTTTTTAAGAATTATACTTTGGTGTTTAAAAATTAACTTATATTCTGTAATTCGTAAATATAAGTACTTGTTTGAATTGTCGTCTCTTGACAAGAACAAGCTAACACCGCTATAGTGTTTGACAGAATATACACTTAAATAGATGTGTTAAAAGTAAGTCATTGGCTATGCTTAGCACTGGCTTAGCAAAACTGAACTAGCTGATTGTCAGTTCATTTCATTGGAAATAATTATTTCTATAAGAAAAAATATATCGAATCTCATATATACATATACCAGTGCGATATACATATTACAATATAATATTTGTGATTATTATTCGAGCAGTAACGCTACGCTTGAAGCTATATGCTATATGCTATATACTCCAATCCTTTTTAAGAATGTGAGAGTCGAAATGTGAAAACAACCATTGATATTAACTGATTAGCAATGTTTTTTACAAAATTCAATTTTAGACTGTTCAACTGTTCAAGTGTTCAACTCAGTTATTTAGTTCTTTTAAAAAATCTAAAGATGTCCAACGATAGATATTGGCCGCGGATCATACAACGATTTCCATGCGATTTGCTTTTCTTATAACTTTCGGTTGACTTTGAGACATATCGGACAAGCCACTATACTTGAAAGAAAATATAACAGTTTGCTGTCCAAAATTAGCTTCAAATCTGAAAAGAATAGTTTATATTTTATTTAAATTAAATACAATATAAGGAGATTATTATTACTCTGTGCTAATATGTATCTCCGGTGGTTTTCCTGTCGCGTTTTGTATGACTAGAAACATTTTAGTTACAATTTCGATTACATGACCTGTTTGAAAAACGAAATCTCCTTTTTTACGACCAAATTCCGACTACAAATAAAGAAAATATTTATAGTTTGTTTATAGTTTCGTCTTAAAGAATGGAATATATGTATAATATTCTTACCGCTTTTACATGAAAAACTGCTATATCATCTAAATAAGGACTCAGTGACATACGATATATTTCCGAAGCAGGCACTCTATATTTAACTTGTAATGTTCGTTGATCCAACAATAGTAGAGATGAGGTTGATAGAACTAATAAGATTGGCACAAACTATAGTAAATGAAAAATATATTAAAATCATTCATCTAAGTCATGTAATAAAATATATATATATATAAATGTTGTTAAACAAATTTGTTCGTTTTTTTTTATTTCCGAAACGAATATATTTTTTTCCAGTACCGAAAGAATGTCATTAAAATCATGTAAACTAGTAAATTTCTTTATAGTTTATACTCTTGAAGACTATTATTGAACTGCTTTTAATATTGCTTAAGGATGCAGAATTATAAAGTTTTAACAATTTCATCTAAATAAGTAAAATGCGATGTTAATCCAGTATTGCCCAGAATCTTTTTTTATAGTGACAATCGTGGGTTATTACGGGTTAATGCACAAAAATTTTTATCCAAGTAGGATATGTATAACATAAACATTTTCCTGAGGTTTACTGATAACTGGTCGCTTTATTAACTTTTTTATTATTAATTTTAATACATATATTTCGTATATTTAATTTTATAATCGAAAATTGAATTCAGGTTATAAGATATCCGATTACTTGCCTGCTAAAGAGTAAGTGCTTAGCAATTGAGATATCATGGCTATAAGAATAGACTGAATGATGTGATGTATTCGGTATTACATCAAGCATAAAAATTTAAAAGCTTAATTGAAATAATAGTTTCAAGTATGAAAATATACTTGAATACATCGAATATTAACTGAAGAATTTGAGAGCAGTAACTTAAAGATGTCGTTAACCAACTGAATCAACCGGCGGCCAGATTTGCATTTTGAAACCACTCATCTATTCGCTTGCTTCTCTACGGAAATATACTTCTACAATACATACATCAAAAGGAATGATAGTGTTGAACTATTGTTATAACAATATATATTCCAAAGAAAATAATCACCATTATCGTGATATAAAGATATTAAGTTTTACATTGAAACTATGACATTTCATATGAATTACCGTATTAAATTATTTACCGGATTTATTATTCTACTCACGCAAGCAGTCAATACTTTTATTGATTCGAGTATAAACATTAAAATAAACATAAGTCACAGTAACAGCTAACAGCAACAAAAAATTGAAAATGTAGTGATGATTGTGTTTTCAAAAAAAATATTTTATGACAAATTTTAGTTATTCTCGTATAACTATTTTCAATGTTAAAACATTATAATTTATTTTTAATCTTATTAAATAAATATTCAAATTAAATTTAGTGAAAGAAACTATTTTAAAGAATGGTGCTATGTGAAATAGAGTTTAGTTTACCTTTCCATTTGACCGTGTAATTTTATTGATTATGTCAGCAAACACAACATACTGATCGTTGGTTTCGATGCAAATTTTTTTCCATTGCGGATTGTGTCTTAATCGCACATAGTCACCAACAAAAGGATGACCAACACTAAAAAATACAAGTCATTTAGTAAATATCTATATAGATATGTTGGATGTTATACCTTCTTGAATAAGATGCTTTACGCTCTTTGAATATAATACTGGCAGTTACTTTTTCACGCATGCGATTTCTAGAAGTTTGATCAAATGAGTTTCGATATATATAACATTTCCAACGATGATAAATAGATCGTAATAGACGTGAGGTTTCTGAAAGAAATTTCGGTGCTGTAGGCCATTCGGTTGACAGCGGACTTAAAGTGTTGGGTGGAAGTCGTAGTGGTATTGTTAGTAAATATTGTCGTATTTTCCACCGCCGAAAATGTCGAGATATAACATCAACTGCCCATTTCACTTGCCTTTTATACTTCATGGTACGATACTCCTCTCGCGCCTAACATAAAATTATATAAACAAAGTATGCATATGTTGTTGGGATAAGTTTTGTAAATAAAAATGAAAATTTAAAAAATTTATTCTTCATTCAAAAACGTATGATATTTTAAAAAAAAAATAAAAAAATGCTTACAACTCGGTAAAGACTCCACAAATGTCTTCGTCCTGTAAAGGGAATGCCAAAGCGACATTCCTGTGCTCAACAAAAAGTTTTGTAAATTAAAAGGAGAACATAAATACATGCAAAATTATATTAAATAAAAAAAAATCTTAAGTAAACAGTTCTTACCCGCCATGTCCTCCATGCACTCGATATAGTAATTTGACTGTCCCGCATGCGTAAAAATCGCTTCCTCGCCAAATACATCCGAAAAACTTTTTGTATAAGCACTGCCAAATTATTTATACGGGCTTTACGAAATTGCTCCAACTCGTAGACAGTACGGGGGCTACGTACAAACACATTTTTTGTGCCGATTGTAAACTCTGCAGATGGCAATGGCAAATTACGTATTATCAGTGCAATGCCCTCTACAGTGCTACCACTGTGAAAGTGGGGCCAGGTGATGCTATTCAATAGCTTGTAGCGGTTGAAGAACTTGACATGCGACAAATGAAAGCAATGTCCTGTGCGACATAAGTGAACCAGCGGCATGAGTGACAAATAGCGAACTTGATGCTGGACTAAGGCTAAATCGAAGGAACGTGCTTGTTTGCTTTCATTCGGTTTAATGCAAAAAACATAATGAGCGCGGCGATTTTTAATTATGTCCAATAGTGTGTGCAACTGTGTACGTATATTTGAACTTAAAGTTGTTGGTTTCTTCGAAGTATGTCGCCTTGGATTGCCTGAATAAATATAAATAAATTGATTAAAATTAATGTCGTTGTCAGTGTCAAAGTCAGTGTCAGTGTCAGTCTCATTAACATACCTTCCGGAAAAAGACTTTGTACTAAGGGTAAATCGCTTTTATATAGTGCAGTACTTATATATCTGGGCAGTACATCTGTATTTTTTTCAAGAAATCGATGAATGGAGTAATTGACTACACTAGCAAAATGACGTATCCTAGTTTTAATAAAATAAATTAGTGTAGATATTTATTTTATATGCAAATATGCAAAATATATGAATATACTTAAAACACATTGAATTTGGTCCACTTGTCATGAAATTCGGATGACCAGCACAGCATTGTTGTATGCGCTGTAATAAAGCCTCGTTTGTATTTAAATGAGCCTCATTTATTAAGCTTAGGATGCCATAATTCGGCTTATCTATCAGCTCGCAAATGGATTCGTTATCAAAATAATCAATTCGTGTCCACTCAAGGCCTTCCTTAATGTAAAGCTCCTGTTCAGTTTTAAGCACATTATGTACGAAATTCTGAAACCAGAGTTTATCTTAATACAAAAGGTTTTTTGGAATACTTTAAATGAAAGTTTTACGTGATGAATTTTCTCAGCGCTGTAATTAATTGCAAATTGTTCAAATGAGTTACTTTCTAATATCTCGAAACCGTAAAAGTCTAATAACGCTAAATTTTTTTCTCTTTGGGCAGATTTAAGAATTTCATTAATTTTGTTAACAAGCCAAGTAAAAAGGCGGCCGTATAGTGTACGACACACAGTGCTACGTATATAAGCAGCTTGCTTTGCATCCAAATCGCAACCTAAAAGAAATTAAATTAATTAAGTAAAATAATTAAGCAACTTTTTATAATGTTCACACCAAATACTCACCAACATCCTCTTGATTACTGCTAAAACTATTTGATCTCGTAAGGCAATTTATTAATATTTGAGCTTCCAGATTCAGCAAATATGCGGTTTCTTGTACCTCTACATAATTTTAAATAATAAAAGTGAAAATTTAATCAAGTGATATTTATATATTTCAGAATAAATAAACTAAGCATTTATGATTTTATATAATCTTATATCAGTCAAAATCAATTATAAATAATTCAGCCATAGTTAATTATCGAAATTGAAGTATCTCAATGAAATAGATTAACGTCTTAAAATATGATGAAATTCTGAAACAAATAGTAACGTAATTACTAACGTAATAGTAATAATCTAACGTAATTAATTTGAACATCAAAGAAGTTTCGAATAGAAACTTGTAAGATATTTTTTAATTAAAATGAAGTTCATTTCAATAGATCAATTAAAAAGTGAGTTTAACACATTTATGCAGACAGTATTTTTCTTAGCTCTAATGCATGCATATATTTAAATAAACTACAGACAAAGTATCGGTCAAGAACACTAAATGATGGAGAAACTAAAAAAAACCAACTAGAGTCAAAATGCTAATTAACAGCACTAAAAGTATGAAAGAATATATTTAATCTCATAGCTCTATACATTATTGTTTAGAATATAACATAAGTTCGGAAGTATAAAAATATTTTCATTTAGTTGCATAAATAATTAAGCTGTAACGTTATTCATAGATTCAAATGTTCCTAAGACAACTTAGTAACATTTTCTATAAAGTTTTCTTTATAAAAGTATGCTATGTAATTAATTTAAAGACGACAGTAAACATAACGAAATATGAAAATAAGTATTTTAAATATAGAGGTTTTTTCGAACAGTAGTGAACTACAACAACAAAAATTCATTTTACATTATTTTAATTAACTGAATTTTTGGCTTATCATACAGCAGTGGTCTTGGAAATAATTGTTGCATTTAATTATTCGTAAATAATTTTTTTGGATTGCAAGTACCAGGAATCGAACTCGCGCCCTGCCAAATTTGAAGCTTAGAGTCAGTGCACCTTAACCAACTGACCCAAAAACCGTACTTGACTTTTATGTTTGCACATTTTTCTGGAGTTTTGTTAATTTGTTGTGAAAGTTTTAACACATTTACTTGCTGTGTTTATATAAGAACGAAATCATAAACCAGCTGTGGAATAAATGAATTAATTAATTATATATATATATATTTTTTATTTTTAATTGTTAAATTTCAACACTATTCTATTTGTAGAGGCATTATATGTTGCATGAGAAAGTCATGCTAATCTTACTACACGATTCGCACTGGCGAGACCAATATTTTGTGAATATAAGTTGTAATTTAACTTCAAATCTTTTTAAATATATTCATTTTAATCCTTGACATCATTCCGTAAAGCAATTAAATCAGCTACTGAAAATCTTCGAATTTTCTATAAATTTAAGTGAATTTACATTCTTGTCGGTACCCACTTCACACAAATAGTAATGTTTCAAAACAATTAGTTTATCAAATTAAAATATTAAAATTATTTGAATATACTAAAGTTACATTCAAATTTAAAATCATAAAATAATTTGGTAAATAAATAAAGGATTCAAAATGAATATTTTGAATATATGGTATAAAAAATAAATATTGGATATTATTTAGCTTTACCATAAAATTTGAATAAATTTATATTCTAAAACTTACCATATAGATTTGATATTTGACAACCTTCAGTACCATCAATGTTAGTGGTAGGTACAAAAATAAAATTTCCTAATTTTAAAACCACAGCTAGAATCCGAAATATAGAATTAATCTCATCGCATGATAGTCCAAGTACTTCCAAAGATTTCTGTAATTATAGGGTCTTCATTTAAACGATTAACTTCGCAATTATATAATTAAGAACTTTACCCTTGTATAATGAAAATTGGTGCGATCTTCTTCAATGGCAGTTGTATTATTTAAAATTTCATATTTTTCTACATTACGATAAAGTTTTAAAGATTCTACAAAATAATATATAGTTTATTATATATATATATATATATGTATATATAGGTGCAAGAAATTAATGCTGAACTTACTTAATAATTGCAAATCTGCACCCAAAAGCAACTGATAAAATATGTGAAAATTCCGCTCTCCAATAGTTGTGTTCGTTATCCTGGTCTGTAAGTGTCAAAAAATAATTTTTGGTTGTATTTTATAAAAATTTAATAATACATTTAAGATAAAGATATTTGATTTAACAAACCTTTTCAAGCATATCTTTAATAATAAATCAGACATGAAAGTAAATTTTTCATTTTAGTAATGTATATATATAGTATATAGATTTATATTTATATGAAGTATAACAATGTTTCATATGTTTATTTTATAATCTAAATAAGGATGATATATATGTTTTCTATATTAAAAAAAAAAACGTTATCCTTCTTAACTAATCATTTATTGGTTTTGTTGCTGTACTATCTTTATTAATAATCCAACAAAAATAAATTTACAACTAGCAGAAAACATTACTTACAAATCTCTTCAACCAAATAAATTTTTTTTCGATATTTTTGTATAAATATGTAAAAAAAATGTACATTTATAAGATAAAAACAATTTATTTAACAACCATTTGGTAATAATCGAATATCTCTAGAGGTCGATTCGACAACTTCTATAATAATCGTAATTATAACAACAAATTACCGGAGGAGGAGGAAATTGGTTTAATAATAGATATCTATAGATATATATATTAAATTATAGAAATATTTATATATACTTTAATAACTTCTATCATATTCATAATTACAGCAAACAATTACATTAAATTACTGTCAGAGGAGAAGGAAATTGTTTTTTTTAATAGATATCTATATACATATGTTATATACTATATTATATCACAAAATGTTATATAAACATTTATATACAAATTTGTATTATATATTAGAACATATCATACGACTATTTTATTTCAATGTTGTAATATAGTGCAAATAAGTTGACATAATTTTACTTACAGTGTGTTATGTGAACTCCAATTGGATCTCCCTTAAAATCGATTTCAATATCGAAAAGTTTTCCCTATTAAAAAAAATTAAAAGAAAAAAGAAAAAATAAAACATAAAAACATTGATTTACAACAATTAGTACTTTAATTTACATATCTACTAGAGTTATTGTTCTTCATTGTTGACGCATTTCCCATAGCCTCGAGAAAGACATCAGCATAGGAGACACACTCGCGCAATTTTTGACTTGGGGTTTTATGTCGATTCCGTGTGAGTGATGGTGATGTTTGTGCACTTGCTGTAGTTTGACTTAATTTGTGAGCATCATATAGTGATATACGTTGTGTTGAACCAACAAGCGACGATCTTTTCGTTATTGGATTTTCAGTTGAATGTTGTCGAGTCAAATTTGAGCAGCTGCCACGATGCGTATGCAATTGATGCGATGGAGTCACTAAACGCGTGGCCTTCAGTAATAATTCCCTTTCATCTTTTTCTAAACTTTGAGCACGAGTACATTTACTATGGCCACAAAGACGACAACCACCAGAAGAGGCGGAAGTACCGGATACATATTTGGGTGATGAGCTCATTGTCCCTGGTGATTTCGAGGGAGTGGCAGTGCAAGGCATTTGTGAGTGTTGGTGTTTAAAACAAGATTTTGCAGGATGTTTGTCAGCATGTAGATGCATATAACCATATGTTGTGCTCAAGCTGTCCAAAGAAATATTTTCCGTACTTTTATGATGGGAAAAATCAAAATCAACAAATTTCTCGCGCATATTTCTATTAGATTGACGATCTGAACTTTCGGCACGTGTTCGATATGTTGTATTATCGCAACGTCTCGGTACTGCACCTGGTGATGGTGATTGCCGACGTGATGAACAGCCCATTGTGCCAATTGTGGATGTAGGATTTTTACAGAGAATGAAATTTGTAGCAGAACAACTACTTGATGTTCGCCTATGCATATTTGCTGAAGTGCAGCTAACGGATGATTGTTTTTTGAATATTTGTAATGGCGAAACATTCTTCTCCTGTATATGTGTTAAAAAGTTGACAATCATTTTAAATGATTCCGTTTTACCTGCACCGCTTTCACCTATCAAAAAAATTTATATTATTTTTATAAACTTTAATAATTGATATAAATGAAATTTTTAACACAAACCAGTTAACAAAATGCATTGATCTTCACTTTGATCTTTGAGCGACTGAAAAGCTAAGTTGGTGAGTCCATAGCTATGTAAAAATAAAAAATAAATAAATGGATAATTATTTAAGTATTGGAAACGCTTTTTGTGGGCTTACATGTGGGGTGGTAATTGAAATATTCCTTTACTTCCATAACTACGTATATTTTCCAAAGAATGCTCTGATATGTGATGATATGGATTCACTGCCACTACTGAGGTGCCTATATAGGTCTGAAATCACCAAATATGAAAACTGCTATACGGAAACTGCCGTAATACTCTATACTTACATATATGTGATCCCTTTTATAGCGTTGCTGAATATTGTTAATAAAACTATCTTCCGACAGGTTTTCTAATAATACAGAATCCCAAGTACCAATTTCTTGTTCCATTCTGATTTTATATTTTATTTGTCATCGTTAAAGCTAATTAAATTGAACACTATAATAAAAAAGTATTAGTGGAATGACTTTTATTAACAAATAAATACAAATACAATAACAAATATATGTTATATTTATATAAATTTGTTTATTTGTTTATTTATGTTAAATGCAATGTTAAATTTCGTGAATACATAGTTTTTTGAATGCATGTTGGAATATCGATAACATTGTAAAGTTAATATATGAAGACCTGTTACTTCCTTGTCAGTACTACAAATATCATCTATTTAATTTTTTATCTACCACAGGTCAAAAAACTTTCTGCAAATTTAAATACTCATTTAATATTAACGAGTTTTTATTGTATAAGATGACATTTGTTTTCTTTTCTCCTACAAATATGCTTCAATATATGCTTTGTATTGTCAGTTTAAGTGAAAATATCGATTTAAGCTTTTGGGAAAAGGCTTTCGATTTAAAACAATAATAACATTTAAATGTATCTCATTTAAAACATATTTGATTTAAATTAGTATGGCTAATATTTTTGAAGAAAATAAAATTATTTTTCTGCTTTGGTATGAGTGAATAAGTAAATTTTTTCTTGTCACATTTTTATCTAACATCTTTACCTGAGGCAATTTTCTTTTGAAAAATATTAAACAAAATGTACACATTTTTTTAGTTGCTTAAAAGTAACTTATTGTTAAAACTTTTATTTACAAAATAATATATTACTATTTTTATAATATATATAATATTATTTTAAATTAAAAAATTCCTTAACACATTTTATTTGCACTAAAATTTTTTTCTATGATTTTCGTTTCACTGACATTCGCTCGGTGAGAGTTGTTGAGCGTAGAGAGAAAGTAATATTTTAACTACAAACGTTTTTATATTATATTTCTAATATTAAAATTGTATTTTAATATCATATTCATAGTATATTATTGTGCAATGTACATGAATATTAGTTTTCTTTTGTTATGATAATAATAATTAAGCTTATAGAATATATATATAATGTGTTCCTATATGGATATTCATAAATTCATAAAAAAAATTTATAAAACACAACTGCTGTGTTTATAACACTTCGTACCTCAGCATTTTTTTGTATTTGCAACCCTTACCGAAAGGTTATGTCACAACATCAGCTGTGCTCTTTTCTTATTACATTTTCTTTCACCTGCATTCGCTAAAATGAACTTTTTGAAAAAGGTATTAAAATAAAACTAATTGCATAGTAGTCCATATGTGAATTAACTTATATTTTTAGCTTGGTCCTTTACTCGAAGCAGCTCAGACTCAATACTTTAAAAATGCTTCTTTACATACAACTGCGGTGTGCTGTAGAGTTCAAGCAGGTCGCTACCGTATAACCACAAAACGAAACAGACCACTTACCTATGAGATGGCTAATCCACCTCACTATATAGGGCACAGAAAGTCGTGGAATTCATGGAACACATGTAGGTTTAAAAATGTTTTAAGCTCTTTAACAAGTTTTAATTAATTTTGTATACATATAGCAACAATGTTGGATGGGTTGCGCCCTTCTCAATCTGCCATTGAAGATGTGTTTCTGCGCAAATTTATGGTCGGTACATGGCATGATTTAATTTGCTCTGAAGTCATTATAAAACGACAGCACAATATGATACGAATAGCTGTTATTATTCGACAAGCGATTAGTGCTCGAAAGATGTATTTTCTTATTGGCTACACTGAAGAGCTGTTATCTTACTGGATGCAGTGCCCCGTTACATTAGAATTGCAAACAGTGACAGATAAAAAAGATGTAGTTTTTAAATATATTTGAATTTGATTATTAAAAAAGGAAAAATAAAAAAGTTATATTAGCTAAATTTTTTAGTGTATTGTTATTTCACTATGATTTTTATTGCTTTGCCAAGTTTTAATTGCTTTGTTAACAATTGCTGCATCTTGATCTTTCACCTGTTAAAATAGAGTCACAAAATTTATCAGCATAGAAAAAAAATTGCGGTCAGTACCTGTTCAACCAGTGTCTTAAATTCATAAGCATTGGTGCATTTTAAGATAGCATCTCGAAACGCCTTAACTAACTCAATAAAGACGAAAACAACTATTTTTCTTGAGCCACCACATATTTTATCCCACACTTTTACCAAAGCAGATTCATTAATTATACCAGCAAAGCAGTTAAAATACCATTTGTCCACTATACCATTGCTAAATACTTCCAAACTATCTAAATGACTTTAAAAAGAAACATAATTTGTCAAGGGGTTATGGTTTGCTACTATTATATCTTCATACTTACTTTAGTAATGCAATATCTTCTCTCTTCAGTAACATTTGGGTCAGTTCCTTAAGCTTTGGACACTCTTGCTTAATATCATTTGTGCAGCCATAAAATTTTTTAGCAATCCAGTAAGTTTCTACATCGTTTTCAAATATTTGAAGCAACACCTTTACAATTTCGATGAAGTTGTCATCTTGGGCACCTTCTACTTGATGCAGTAACCGATTATTTTCCAGTAGCCACATGGTATATATATTATGACTCTTAGGAGTTGGTGCTGTGACATCACGATCTATGTACTGCATTATTTGCACAGCTCGACGCAAATCTTCATAAACAGCAGTCCGCTGCTCTAAAATATATTGTGCAGAATTTTTATGCAAAGGCAGTACGCCTGTAAAAACAAAATATTTATTGTCTTCATAAAATATCAATAAGTTGCTAATTAATACTTTACCGAGAATTATATTCCAGAGTAGGGCTCTTTGTGTTGTAGGAACTGTGTAACTTAAACAAAATTGTTTTAATTTTTCATGATTTCTTATATTATCCTCTAGTAACTTATTTAAAGATTTTTTCTCCTCAACACCATAGCACCCAACCTTTGAATAATTAAAATATATTAAATATATACAATTATTGATTATATATCAATATTATTAAGATAGATTATTATATATTTTCATATACTTACTTTTTCATAGTAACTAGAACGAAAATTTCGTTCGTCAGTAGCCATTTTCAATATTTGATATTTATACTAATATATATTGTGAAATAAATGGCTTTTTCCGTAATTTTCTTCTAAATTCGAATGCCCACCGTTTTTGTGTGAATACTGTTGCTAAATAATTAAAAACAACAAACTAGAAAATGTGGATAACAACAAAGTAAAACCAAATGCATTTGAACAGCTGTCACGACAATATGAGATAACGGGTGCTAATGTAGAAGTCAGTATATACGTATACCAGTGTTATATAATACAATGTATAGATTTTACAATTATAAAACATGAGTCATTAATTTTGCATAATTATAATTATATCTCTGCACAATTGCAATAAAATCAAGGAACAGCGAAATAAAACATAGAAAATAATATTGAACGTAGCAAAAAATGTTGTTATATACATATATTAAATTGAATACATATAACATGAACATTATTTATATTTTTATTTTTACGTATGTGCCACATTCAAATAATTTTACGTAGCATTCTTTTGATTGAATTTAATAAGTAGAAATACTTTGACCCAGCACGTTTTAACATAAAATAACCGCACACCAACGGTAACGAAAACAGCTCAATTTCGCCATCAAGAGAGAGTAAAGGTGTTCAACAACCAACTCCAATAAAAAACCTGCCATTGGAAAGGAAAGGAAAAGGAGGTTATATTTCATATCTTTAGAAACTAATTTTCAACATTTCTTAACGGCTCATCTTAATTTCTCTTTAAATATAGTTATGTTTAACTAAAGTAATAGTTAAACATGTGGGAAAAACTTTCAGAGAAGGTGAATTGGAGGTTATGCAGATGAGGTAAACCTCTGCATAACAAAATGTTTGACTCTAAGGTGAGAAACCATGCGTGGTATGAATATTAAATAGAATGACACTGAAGCTATAATCCCAACAAAGTGTTGAACCAAAGTGTTAATGTGAAAAAAAGTGTTATCAACACAATAAGCGAACTATTGTGAACTTTCATTAGAAATTAAAGCGAGTATTCTAATCATATATTAAAATTAAATAAAATTTAAATGTTTCACAAATTTTATAAATATGCAAAATTGTGGTAAATAAATATTTTAAAAACAGTTTTGCTGTTTTTTGTAACACTGCATTCGGCGACCTGCCGAATGCACCGAATATTAAAATTTGCTTTTCATATTTATGTTAACATTCCAGGAAAACACTTTAAAATATTTATAGTTATATTTAGACATGCATATGTTATTTTTTAACATTTAACGTAAAATTTAGAACTGCATCGTATATGTATGGTACTGTTTGGTATAACGGAATATAAAAAAAATTGAAGAAATTGTATCGTGTAAATGAAATTACATATTTCTACTACATTTTACATATGCGGTTGCCATAAATGTCAAATAAAAGAATCATTTACTACCCCATTCCGTTTCAGTATTTAGTTTTATTATTGGTTCAGAACGCCGAAATTTCGCATATAAGAATTTTATTTTGATAAAGAAATATGCAATATATTTATTTAAAATGCGTTTTTTTAGTGCTGTTTATATTTGGAGCACTTATAGCTGGAAGCGCAGTCAGCAGCAATGAATACTTAAAACGAGAACATTCTTTGATAAGACCTTTTCAGGGTGCGTATTAAATATTTGTCCATTACTCACGCAATCGCTTAGAAACTGAAAAATGAATAATTATTTATGGTTTTATCGGCAGGTGTTGGAGTAAATATACAGTATTGGGATTTTTTAGGGCATACGATGATTACAAATAACTATATAAGACTGACACCTGATCTCCAATCAAAGAGCGGTGCTTTATGGAACTATTCCGTGGGTTATTGTTTTTTAAAACGATTTTTTTAAATTGAATATTTAAGAAATGTGTATTATATATTTATTTTACAGCCTGTTTTAAGTAGAAACTGGGAAGTACAAGTCACATTTAGGGTACATGGCAAAGGGACAGAATTATTTGGTGATGGCTTAGCGATATGGTATGCTAAAGAACGTATGCAACCGGGACCTGTCTTTGGTAGTAAGGACCATTTCTTGGGTTTAGTCGTAATATTAGATACATATAGCAATCATAACGGCCCTCATAATGTAGGTTATTAAGTAGTTATTTAAAAATGTTATATTTATGTGTATTTATTTTATTGAATTTGCTAGCATCAGCATCCATACTTAAGCGCAATGGTAAATAATGGCACGTGGTCATACGATCATGACCGTGATGGTACACATACACAATTATGCGAAGGTTGCGAAGTGCGTTTCCGTAATGTGGATTTTGATACTCATGTTAGTATACGATATGAGAATGACATTCTTTCTGTTGCTACTGATTTGGAAAATAAAGGCGAATGGAAAAGTTGTTTTGTTGTTAATGGTGTAGAGTTACCTACTGGTTACTACTTCGGTATGTCAGCAACAACGGGCGATTTGAGTGATAACCATGATATACTTGCATTTAGGTTTTACGACTTAGATTCAAACGTCACTGTAAGTTAATAGCCATATTTTTTTTTATATTTTACACAATGTAAAACCTATATATTCACAGCCCGACGATATTTTAGCGCGAAGCAAAATAATACCAAATGCCAAAAGTTATGAACCACCACGTGCTCATAAGGACGACCCTAAACCAAGCATGTCAAACGCAAAAATCTTCTTTATTCTTTTGTTCGGTATGCTTATTGTTATTGCTGTAGCTATATTTGCAATATCTTACTTTAAAGAGAAAAATAATAGAAAACGTTTTTATTAAATACGCGGATACATTAATATATATGTATATATATATTCTGTAAAAATTGCAAGACATCACAAATTTGAAACTTTTGTATATTTTTAAGATTGCCATTGTCAAAAATATTAAATTATTTATTTATTTGTATAGGGTGTAAGTAAATAAAATTATTTTGCTTAGTAAATTGAAGAAAAGGTAATAAATAGTAATGTCTTGATTCTATATATATGTAGTTATATACTAGTACTATGGTGATGAATTGCCTGCTAAATTACAGATTATATATAAACAAATTTATATAAAAAGAATCATTGAAAGTCTATAAAGTAATAAATGCATGTTTTTAGCCCGTTAAATTTTTAATGATTTAAATAATGTTAATAAAACAACTTGATATCTAGTTAATTTATGCCAAAAGAATAAAGACTTCCATGTTTATGAAAACGTTGTCATTATTTCCTTCTTAAAAATGAAATCCGTAGCCCGTTAACCATATCATCCTATGTTAACTAAGATTTTATCATAAAAACAAGAAAAACAAGAAAAACAAGAAAAAGCAACAATAAACATACAAAATTCAAAATTTTAGTTTCAGTATATATAAGCAATTTATTTTACTCAAATATTCATTAAATTCAAGGAACAGGTATATCATTTATTTCCGACTATTAACTTACGACTATTTACTTATATAGAAATTGTAATGCTTTATTTAAAATCGAAATATTGAAAAATTATATGATAATAAACACGTAAGTCTCAACACATTTAAAATAATAAAATACGAACATAAATTTTTGGCATAGTAAATACAAACATTGTTTCTTAATTTTGTTGAATATTATAAAAGAAAATTTTCATTATTTACGTTAACTACCAAGGCTCGTTTAGAGACCTCCGGAAGCAAACAATTTCTGATGTAAAGCCGATAGCTTTATTTTTCACCCATTTTTCTTTTTTTTTACAAATGTGAACATTATTTCATTGTAAAATTTATATATATATATTAACGATAAATATATTCAATTAATTTTGTTGTGTTTTAATAGTAGGCAAAGGTACAAATTGCCGCATATAATTAAAAAATTTCATTTCAAGGAAAGCAAACGAAATTTAGTAAATATATACTACTCTAGCGCTAAATCAAACAACAAAAAATTAATAGAATATTTTTATCATTATTTATATATTATTTAATTAAAGATTAATGCTTAAAATCTTAATTTAAAAAATGACAACCATCCAACAAAGTTTGACTTCTCATTTTGGCGATACAAAAATATAGCCTAAAGTGAAGTGTGAGGATGGTATAGATCTTTAAATTGTATAATAATTTAAATTCAGACCTATTTGCTACGACTATCTCTACTAATACTTAAAACAATCGCTTACAATTAGCTAAAAAATGTATTATTTTCTATTAGAAAAAAGAAACAGCAAATATTTTCGCTCTTTTCCTCGTTATGATACACGATTTATACTATACGGATGCGTACAATGCGCCTAATCCTACTGTCCTAGAGTTGACGACGACGACGACGACGCATGCAATTTTGTGCGCACTTATAAATGCATTGATTGGAAGAAATCTATTTTCGAACTGCGATCTGTTCCTTGCGCATTCCAGACAAACCGACACTATTATTGATGCTTTTGTTTACAGCAATTTTAGTGGAAATAGTTGGTGTCACAATTGCCGTGGATGCCACTGTTTTTTTAACTCCTGCTGCTTCGTTAAGTGGCGATATATTGTCAAATGTGGAGCTGCGTATAAGTTTCTGTTTTTGTGTGCTGAGCGTAGAGGAAGATTTTGTGTTCAGCGTTCTAAGATTGCTAACATTTGCTTTGGAAGTTGTATATTTAGTCTTTTGTGGTGATTGTGATGTTTGTGGTTGTTGTTTCGATTTCGCTTCATCCACACGTTTCCATATACTGGCGATCCGACTTTGAGTTTGACTAATTTTTGTTGCTGGCGGCGAATTACCATTCAAAGTAGAATTGCTGCGAGAAGGTGGTGTGGTGTTGGATCCACGCGTGGAGAGTACTGCAATACGTGCTGTAGTGCTAGCCACACGTATAACAGCATTCGTATTTGACCGTTGCGGTCCTGCCATTGATTTTGTTGTTGTTGTTGTTTGTATTTTGCGTGCGCCAGTATTCAATGACTTGTTGCTGCTCCTGATTGTGGAAGTTGCAGCTGCTTTGCGCGTAGCACCATTTATTCCTGTCATATTCGGTAAGTTTGTCTTTGTTTGCTTTGTTGGCAGCTTTGACATTCGTTGTGTTGGACTAGAACTGGTTGTAGAACTCATTTCTACTATTGGCACTGTTTTATTTAATACACTGGGTTCATCCTTTACAAATGTGCCCTGACGCTCGATGGTAGCAGGTACACTACAATTGTTTACATTTTTTTGACTTGAATTTGTTCCAGATGTCGCTATCTCATTTCCTTTTTTGGGTGCTGAATGCTTTGAAGTCAGTGCAGGTGTATTCAGACTCTTTTTTGCAGCTGCTGTATTGTTGCGTTGGTATTGCATACTGTAAGGCGACACATATGCTGGCTTTTTTCGACCTCGCACTGTTTTTGTTTCAGCTTCTTGCTCTTTACCTATTTCATTGGACTTGAAATCATTAGGCTTTAATATGCGGGGCTTATCAGTGCATTTATCAACTGCTATTTCGATTGGATCCTCTTCATTATCTGTACAGTTGTTACTGCGACCATGACAAGACTCTGTTTCTGAATTTTGATCATGTTCCATACTATTGTAATCGTTATCAGAGAGGTTTGTAATTGCTGTTTGAGTTTGTGCTGCATTTGGCTCAGCAGAAGCATTAGTTATACGATTTAGTGGTTCTGATATAAACTTAAATTGCTTTGTCATAGCAACAATTGAGGATATGTCTTCCGATAAGCAATCACCACTGGATATTGAATTGCTTTGTTCTATAGTGTTACTTAATACAGGATATATGATTGTTTGCGTTTTGTACCGATCTTGATCGTTTGAACGTCTTTTATTAAATTTGGTTTTTGGTGGCGTATTATCTATTATTTCAATCTGTAAAGTTTCATCCAGTTCGACAAAATCATTTCCTCTTTGTTGCTCTCCATTAAGTACAATATCTGCGGCTATTGTATATGTCTTAAAACGATCTTTGTTAAGTTTTCGTTTTTGTTTCGGCGTAAGTGTTCGTTTTACACCATTTGGCGAACTTTGCGATTTTTTCGGAGTGGACTCTACAGAGCTGTAATCTGTTGGTAACTGAGTGTCACTACTATTTACAGAAATTTCGTCATCATCATCATCATGTGGCAAGATATCAGCACAAGTTTGTAATGTTACAGTATTATCATCAAATTCATTACCACAGTTGGCCGTTTCATAATTCGAACCAGACATAGTTGTCGCCATGCTATCGCAATCAGCTACTTCTGATTGTATACTGGCGACACTTATCATTGAGTCAAGTAGTTCATCCATTAAAGATGGCGGCTTTATGTTATCCAAAAGATTACAACTTGAATTTACGCTTTCTGTACTGCTTGCCAAATGGCCGGGTAATTGTCCAAGTGCGCGTCTAGCAACTAAGCCTACAGGTAGAGGTTTCCGCGGAAACTTTGGTGACTTTGTCAATATTTGTGGACTTTGTGACATTGATGTACGCTGCACTGGGTTAAGATGTGTATTATGAATAGACGTGTTTCCAGGCGATAGTTCTTGGTAATATCCTGATATGTTCAAAGAATCCATACCAGATGGTGGTCTAATATTATCAAGATCTAAGCTGTTTACGTTGAATGTTTGTTCGGTACAATCGTTCACGAATTGCAAATTTTCTGCTAAAGCCAGCGCTTCAATTGCTATGATAGTTGAATTGGTCATACTTGAATTACTTAAAAACATCTTCTGACCATGAGTTACTGCTGCCGATTGTACTTCTCCTCCGACTTTGAAATTTATGCCACTACTATTAGTACCAGAGTTTGTATCCACACTGTTGTCCACATTTGCTGTGATTGAATCCGTTGTTTTTACATAAACTAAAGTTTCAGTGTCAGTGCCAAGAGAATTCGGTTGCGTATTACCATACATATCAGTTTCATCATAAATTAAACCCAATGACGGCTGAGGTTGTTCTTCATTAGTAGGTGTTATTTCAGCAAAGTCATTTAGCTCTTTATGATACCCATGTGTAGTCTGCTCATCATCATCATCATCATCATATTCATTTTCATTATCATAATTTAAAGACGCAACGATAGGTGCTGTTATGCTTACACTTGGAAATGAAACATCATTTGGACAAGTATCCTCATTCCATGTATTATTTGAGTTGCTAAAGGTGCCAACTGAAATACTTCCTAAACGTTTATTATTCTCATTTGAATGAGAATCACTCGAACTATTGGTGCGAAGCTGTTCAGCTGACGATACAAACTCCAAAGTTAGCCGTTCGACAGACTTTAACATCAAATCTGGGTCCTTATGTTTGTTTGATGTTATAACCTCTGCATGTGGGGCTTTCTCAAAAGATACTGTTGTTTCAATAATAAACGATAAATTTGATTCGTCACTAGTAATGTTTTCCATTGAAATAGAATTATAAACTTCATCGCACATATTCTCTTTAGACCCAATAGCTTTCGCTATCTTTTGGTCGGTCTCGTGACATTGAAGACATTCTTCTGCTGCGATGCTCTGAATGTTTTTTATTTCTTTTGTGGTGCCGTCTGGATTGCTGTTGCTGTTGCTCTCGATCTCGATCTCTTTCAGTTTCTCGCTGGTTAAATTGGTTTCGATATTCGCCTCTACGTCTGGAGCTGCTGTGCTGTTCGCACTTAATGATGTAATAGCCGCCATTTGGTGACACGGACCCAACGCAGCTGCAGACGTAGCTTGCACGTTTTTTGGCACAGCATTTGCAGCAAAGAAAAATTCTTTTGTTTTGTGTTTGTTTTCAATTTGCACTGTAGTATTTCCGATCTTTTTCGAAATACCTGTATTTATACATTCCATTAACAACTTCTCATCTTTTCGTTCACGTTCACGTATGTGACGATTTGGGGTGTGCGGTTTTTGATGAGAAGAAGAAATCATGGGCACAGGAGAGTCAGCTTGCTTTAAATTTGGATTTGATTGAGTTGACACGGCATTATTATTCTTTAAGCGATTGTTATGTAAACTATGCTTGCGATTATTACTCTCTCGTGATTTATTCATGCCGGTTAGTATGCATAATTCTAGCAATGATTTTGACTGATTGTCATTAGAATCGCTTGAATCGACTGAGCTATACGACTCATTTCCATTTTGTTTTGATTGCAGTTGCCTTTGGTATTTATTTGAGGTAGATTTTGAATTTAAAGAGGATGCAGAGGTTGTTAAATTAATTGGTATTGGCTGAGATGAAGATAGAGAAGTCGATCGCTTACTGGTACTGGTTGAAGTACTACTGAAACCAAGATTCGATTTTGGTCTATTACAACCCGCTGCAATAGCCTAAAAATAAATATTTAATTTTAGAATTTAGAATAAACTAACTATATATTTAGACGTATTCGGTGTACTAACCTGACTTAACAAGTTCGTATCATCTTCAGAATCAATAGATAAAGAGCTTAATGAATCATCTTGCCACTGTTGTTCCCTGCGTACATCCTCTTGTTTTTCTAATGATTGTTTAGTGGTAGGTTTTGACAAATGGTCCACATTTAATATGCCAGAACTTACTGAATTGGTTACATTCTTCGAGCTAAAATTACTTATTAGAGCTATTTTTAGTTTTATGTACGTGTTTCAATGTTACCTTGCACATTCCTTTAATTGAACTGCAGGACCAACTAAACTAGAGCCAACTGTTAAATTCGAAAGTTCTGACATCATGGAAAAATTACAAGGACTATCTTCCACCAAGTACTTGTTCATTTCGTCTGTTACAGGTAAATATGTCGGGAGTTTATGTCCTCCACTTTTCATCATTGCGATTGGATCAATCTTAGAAACGTTTTCGCTTTGGGTACCGTTCTGATTTGGCTTAATCATACCATCTCGAATACATTGCTGTAGTAAATGAAGTGTTTGACTAGTTGTACCAGTTTCTGAAGCATTTGAAGAAATATCGTCGGATAAATTTAATGAATGCCGGTTGGTTTTATTTATTGTCTGATCAGTTATAAATTCTTCTTTGATCTCATTATTGCTCGAACATATAGACAATGCTGATAAGTTACTGTTGCTACCAACTTTTGATAAGAGGGCTGGTGTGTCTTCAGTAAAGTACTGTTTCGGTTCGTCAGCTATAGACTGAACTTGTTTCACATGATCTCTGATATTAGACACGGTTGCAGCGGTTGTACGATTCATTCCAATATTTATACAATTAGCTAATAGCAAATCATCATTATTTGTACCGGCATCTTCTTCTTCGCCTATGTAATAATAATAGAAATGCAAACTAAATGTAAAATTTACTGAAATATAAACTTACCTTCGGATATAATATTGGTCAACAATGAAGTATTTTCAACTGTTGAGATAGTGGCATCACTTGATGATATTTTTGCAAGAGAATGTTGTTGTGTGAGATCTAGTGTAGTTGCGTTTTCATCATCAATAATGCTAAGATTACTCAAGCTTGTTGCACATGAAAATTGAGCTGGAGTATTCTCAACATGAAATAAATTAATATTATCTTCAAATACGCTACGTAGGGGTCTCTTTGTATCACTATGCGCGCGTATGCTATTTGCACCCGGAGTACGTGGTGCTAGCGGCGATAATCCAGTAGAGTAGGCTGTCTGTCCAGCGTTGCTGTTACGACGTGGCGACTGTGGCATACTTTGTGTTGGAGAATCTGGAATTTCAGAAGGTGATATAACTCCACTTGCCAAACGACTAAAATCACTAACAACCGAACTCTTATCATCGCAAGGACCGATATCTTCTTCAACTAATGAGTCCATTGAACTGTGTCTAGAGAACATTAGCGGGGTTTCTTGCGCTGAATTAATATTAGTATTCGACGTTTGCCCTTCTGGTGAAGTCGAAGTTTCAATATTTTGTTCAACTTGTGAAGTTATATTTTTTGTGGCGGCATTGTTGATAAGCAGCGTCTTGGATTTTTCCTCATTGCCTTCATTTGAAAGCTGAGCTTGTTGTACTGGCGGAGATCCATCCAAACTGCTAAGAGAATCATAACGACTAAAATATCCCGGAGTTCCTTCTTCACAGTAGTTGGTTGGTTTTTCTGGTGTATAAGTGCCAGAACCATAAACTGTACCTCCAGTTTGTTGTAAAGGTGTGGACTGTGAATACTTTTTTGTTGACACTACAGAACTAGATGGCTTGCTTGTTTCTTGTACAGTGTCTAATTTATTTTGTCTTAAATCTGTTACAGATGCGGCATTTGATATCACGTATGGAGTATCTTCAGTTTGATAACATTTAACACTGTCTTCTAGAATAAGTAGTATTTCGTTGCCTTTATTAATTTGTTCAACATTTTTATTTTCATTTTGCAGGACTAAAGTGTTACCAGGATGAACTTCTGTTGATGTTATATCCACGTCAGACTCGATGTGATTTTCTGCATAACGTAAACTGAAATCTGTGGGTTGGTCTAAATCTGTTTCTTGATATGTTGCAAAGTTCGAACCAGGAACTACATTGTCTTCGTTTCTCTGATCGTTAACTTTTGAAGAATTCAAGTTTTTCTCAATATTTTTAGGCAGGTTTTCATTGTACTTTACCGAATAATCAATAGGTTTGTCTTCAATAGTCTCAGAGTCGTTGCTTAAAGCAAATGCCGCACGTGGTACTGGCACACCAATTGCATACGATATAGATTTTTGTGTTTTACGATTTGTGTCTGATGCTGAATGAGATCTCATCACATTTTCATAAGCTGAATCCGATTTTGCTGAAAAGATTGAATCTCGACTTTCACTTTTAGTTAGCATTGCTGAACGTGTCAATCTTATGGTACCATTACTGGCTATCACTGCCGAATTTCCTAAAACAGGATAACGTCTCTGCGTATGGATTATTCCGTTAAAATTTTGACTTTCTTTTAATGTACTTGGTCCAACATCCAAATTATCGCAAGTTTCTGCATGATCTTTTGCTCCAAGTTCTAGCTCTAATGCTTTTTGTTTTCTTACGTTAAGTGAGGGCAACTTTTTCAAGCCCATTGATCGTGCAATAGGATCAAGATGATTTTGATTTTGTATGTTAGGTCTAAAATTCAATAAATTTTTAAGAGCTGACGAACTTCCCTCTGAGATCATTGTATGCTTCGAGTGTATTAACGAACGTAGCATTGGAACAGCACCATTATCCCATAAAAACTTTTGATCTTCTGGACAACGTGCCGATAAATTCCACAACGTTCCGCAAGAATTACTTACTACTGTAAGACTTTCAGACTTAAGCTGTTGCAGCAGTATCATTAAACAATTGTGATCTCTTAAAATTTGCCTATAATGTTCGTTAACTGCAATATGACTGGACACATTTCGCAATATTCCACCAGCATTTTCAATTATTTTAAGCGTTTTACTGGGACCTTCGTAAGTTAGCATGTTAACCAAGAATGCAAGTGCACCATCAACAGCGCAGAATTCTGCTTTGTTCGTACTGCAATGAGCCGAGAGATTCCATAATGCAGAGAGTATTGCCTTTAAGGTGTTTTCACACTTATTTTTCATTGCTGCATGTGCTAAAGCAGTTACTGTACCAATCTCATTAAGCACAGCTTTCATATTGCTATCTGCACGCCAAGAGAGATTTCGCAAAACACTCGCAGTAACTTGTAATAAATCATCAGGTGCAGAATCGAGTTGTGCAACAAGTGCTTCCATAAAAAGCTTCTGACTGCACAAGAGTGCTTTATTGTTTTCGTCACCAAATGTAAGATTCGTTAGTGCCATTAATGCATATCGCCGAAGTGAATTACAACACTGATCTTCAGGTCTGGGACCATGCACGGCATGATCTAAATGTACTAAACTTGGTATGGCATGAAGAGCGCCTAATTCACACATAGCATGTCTATGCTCTTCATCAAAACTGACTTTCATTAATGAAGAAATAGCTGCCAAAGGATGTCGGTCAGAGTCATCAGCTATAGCTTCACCACCACTTTGTAAAAGCGTTTTTAGGAAGTTGCAGTAGTCCATTATTTGGTCGAGCAATCGCAATACTTTTGCTTCTCGGCGTCCAGCTTTCTCATCAGGATGACTGTGCACAACATTGTGAAGAGCCATGCCAGCACATTTTCGGACATTTTCCTCACCTTCAGAGTGCATCATTTGTACAAGTAAAGGAATACAACCTGAACGCCTTAAAGTAGCACATGTTTCAACTGTGCGGGAGAGTTCCAAAAATTTTTTAGACATCTCTAAAGGATCATTTGAACCAAGCATTGATAGAAGAGAATAAACACATTCCACTTTTGGACCGAAATGATCGATTTCCCCTGATGTACCAGAATGGTGTGACAAATTTAATTGTAAGCTTCCATAATGACTGTCAAAACTATCTGTCCAAGCTGCACTCTTAGGAAATCGAAAGGGTGGCAAAGAAGTAGGACTACCTGCTCCCAGCGCATCGTTGTCTAAAAAACGGGAAAGTGTATAAGAAGGTTCCTTAAACCTTTCGCGTGATGAACGTGAACTACTTTTAGAACAATCTAATGAGCTCTTACGTCCACTCAATAAACTAGAAGGAGAACCAGTGCGTTGTTCATTTTGGCGTTCAAAGTTTCGATCTAAACTTCGATGTTCGCGCATTTCATGTTCCAACATATAGTCGGGTGGTATAGGATTTTCATCAAGAAAATGTTTAGGTTTATTGAAGGCTCCTTTTTTTGGCGTAATTGAACGAATTTGACTATTACTACCAATTATATCACCACCACAACCAATTAAATGTAATGTGTTATCATCTTGTGTGAATTCTTTTTTCGTATAACCACAAGCAGCCAATTCATAATCGCTGACCTCACCATCTCGTTCATACCTTTTGTCTAATTTTAGGTGTTCACCTGTCGTAGATATTGTAGCTGTAAGGCCATTTTTATTTTTTGATTGCGAGTGATAATCAAACGACAACGCTCTATTAAAATTTTCCTCAAAATCTGATGGTGGCACTGCATCATAGTCTAGAAAATGTGGTTTCTGTGTTCGTACAGCATCCACGTCGACATCTACATCTTCAATAACTTCAATTTCTACCTCAACATCTGCTTCTTCGTCCAGAATTATGTCATTAACTAAATTAGTATCCCTTTTTGTTAGAGACATGCTGTTTGTGAGATCCGAAATTTATAATCTCAGTTAATAAGTGATGTAAAATACGAAATCATCCTATGGTCCAGCATATCTCTGATCGGCATTTGGAAACTAGTAACATAAAATAAATGAAAAAGTACACATTAAATGAGATTTTACAAACAGAAAAAAAAAACAAATATCGTAAAAACCGAATGAATTTTAATCAAAAACAAAACAACTACAGTTAAGTATTGTTATTTATTTATTTAGTTTTTTATTTTTTATAAATAACTAGTATTATTATTATTTTTTTTTTTTGTTAGCTGTAGTTATTTATATGTTTTCTAAAAGGTTTCTGCTATTTGATATTAATACTGCAAATAAACTAACGAATATTAGCAGTAGAAGATAATGTGTAATAATAATCATATTAAATCGAAGAGTAGCCCCGGTTTAATATAAGGCTTTTTTCCATGTGAATAGATGAAATTTGAGTTCTGATACTTCCAATGATAGCTACAGATGTTGTGGCGATGAGGAAAAAGAACAGCAAATATCTTCTTTGTTGTTCTAAAACGCTTATAATTGATAAAGAATCGTTTCGGAAACATGTAGTATCACAACATGCCGATTTTAATACAAAGAGTTCATGTATTTTGATCAACAAATAAAAAAAGCCGATCATCACATGTATTTTAACTACATACGTATGTATATAAATCGCTTAGGCGGAAAGAGCCTGTACCATAGTGTTGTGAAGATGGCATAAAATGGAATGATTAGCTTAGACATCTTGGTTGTAAAATGATATTGCAAATTGCTGTAAACATGTGACCCGAAATTATTTCAAACAATTCTAATATTCGTTAATATATACATATGTACATATATATGTATATATTTAGTGTAATTATAAAAAAATACAATATTTATAATTTAAATACTGCAGTGGAATATTGCAATCCGTTAGATGCAGTTAAATTGCGGAATAAAAAACGTACCACATTGAAGCAGTCGAAAGGTAATGAAAGTACGTTTTAAGACAATATTTTTTTATTTGTATATTAGTTAATTAAGATTAAAGTTAATGTTCATTAGCGTCTTGGTTTTCTTTTGCTCTTCTGTTGTAATTTGGTTAGTTCATGTTTTTTGCCGCTGTTGAAGAGGCAATAAAATTATTAAAGCGAAATGTATCTGGCATTCGTTGCCAGCTACACCATTAGAAAGTTACTTTTAAAGAATTTCCAGTGCATGACTTACGAATATGGTTTTTTGTTTAAATATATATTTCTGTCTTAAACTGCATTTGATTACACATGTCTGTTTTATTTGAGTTCGTATGAAACCGCTTGAAAGTATACATATCATATCTCATGTAAGAAATAATTAATTTGATGAAAATTGCTTTGAATTTGATTCAAATATTTTGCTCAAACAATTCCGAATTATACTCGTATATCATTTTCAGAAGGAAGGTTTAGTCACATTAGCAGTTTTTGTTTCCCAAAGTAATACAGATATACTGTACATATTCATTCCGACAATAATCGCGATACGGTTATTATCTTTATTATCAAACCATTTTATCTAGAGAGATTGGTGGGTGCGCCAAATTTTCAGTCTCTTGTGCAGGTAGCAAAATAAGCAATTACTTGTTTCTGGTTATAAATGTATAATTCAGAGAAAGGAAATTGAATAAATAAATTAAACATAATTTAATAAATATGAAATTATGGTGGCTGATAGGACTTTGATGGTGACTAACATATTTCCCTGCTTTTTTTGCTTAATACTGTTCTTCACATGTGTCTTGAAAGCTAGAAAGTGATCAAATATGTCACATTTATTAAAAATTAGATGTCATAAATTTTTTCTTTTTTTGGCACACTCAAATTAAACTATTAGTAGTGTTTGGATCATCATCTTGCAGTTTAGAATTTATTATTGTTGTAGTCAACATTTTGGGAGAAACGTGGATACCTCCAAGAGCTAGACTTGGTCACTACTAAAACTATATACATTTGATTTGAATAACTGTATATAACAACAGTTAGCTTAAGAACAATGCCATAGGACTCCACCTTTTATATATATGCATATATATATACTACGTGTTTACTTTGAACTAAATCTAATATATATAAAAAGATATATGATATACACATATAAATAAAATCAGACCAGCACTAAGTTATTCTATTTGAAATAAAAGTCAAAAAATATATCATTGAACACCAATTTGGTCAAACATTTTCAAGATTTTTGAACAATAATATTTTATATTTTGTTTCTTTTTAAGTTTCGTACCTAATTTGCTAATAATTTAATAAGTATGTACACAATATTCATTATAGAGCAAAAGAAAAGATTCTAATAATGTTCAAAAACTGACAGTAGACGTACTCAGTAGACAATAGGCGCACCGACATGTCACCATGTGTTATATGTTAGTAAATTATCTGCTTTATAAATATTTGTGGCATATAGAGATTTGAAGGTACATACACATACATATATAATGTAATATAAGGAATATTCTGATTTCCCTTCCTGATTATTTTTACAATGTTAACTCAGAGATATATCTCTGACTGTTATTCAAAGGTTCCCCATTTGTATTCGAAACCACCAATATTTTTAATAAAACCATTACAAGGTAATGTTACTGTTGGAATTAACATAATATTTCGGAATTGCAATAAAATAGAGATATAAAGTTATAAATAAGAATGCGAAGATATATGGGGAATATTAGACTTAACTGAAGATCTAGTACGACCGTTAAAAAACAAAATCAATCTGAGGTTAATGTATGCGAATTATTTCAATTTGAAAAAATAAAGTAACAGGAATTTTTTTTTTATCATTTTTATCGTCCAAAATTATATTTATAATATATTATTTATGGAATTATATATGGTACAAAAAGACAAACATAATATATATTTTAAAAACTAATCATATTTTTCAGCTACAAATAAAAATCTCTTAAAACCTAATCAATAACAATTTTTAATAAATTGTTATTTATTGATTTTCGTATCTATATAAGCACACCCATATATCTAAAAAGTAATGCTGCTAAGATTATAGAGTCTATCCATCATTCGCTCTTGATATTGAATTCTACTGAATTTACAATATGGTGAGGCATAACACCATTTAAATTATCAGCAATTAATTTATTTTTAAATTAATAATTTAATTAATACAACGATGTAAATGATTTTTTTCTACCCACTGTCTACTGCCTTCTCTTCTTCTTCCATACATAAACACAAACTATTGCATAATTTAAAGTAATTTAAATTGAAACTATTTTTGGGCGCGACATTTCCTAAAAAGTATTGAAGAATAAATAATTTTATATGAAGATTTTGTACAAAATTAACACATAAAACATGTGCTTACATGTGTACATACGTGAATCAACGATCCACTTTATTATTCTTAGCATGCCACTCTATGCCATTTATAATTGTACTTACAATTTGCATATATCATATATAAATTTGTGCGTGCATAAAAAGCAATAGTGCTGTTGTATAGCAACAAATATTTAAAGAAGCTGCCGAGAATAGCCGGGACACAGTCCGAGGCCACCGGCAACAACATTTGCTAGTAAACAACCACAGTTTTTTCCCCTTAGTAAATGTATATAGAAAAGAAAAAAATTAACGAAATTACAAAAACAATATAAACTACATAAACTTGTTGGCTGCCGCTATTCAAACCAAATAAACAGAAAAGGAAAAGGAAAAAAAAAAAACAAAAACAAATAAGAATTATTTTTTATTTTTGCAACAGCACTTTACGTTGACGAACAAAGCAGCAACAATGCAGGCAAGTTAGTTATGTGTGTCTCATAGGCAAGGAAGGAGGACAACAAATATAGTTTTATTATGTGGGATGAGAAGGGCGTAATGTGCTTCAAAATGGAATAACAAAATGAAGAAAAATTAATATGTGAATAAATGATTGTTGATCTTATACAATATTAATTTCATCAATTATGTATATACATACATATATTCTGTTCGATTATTTAATGTAAGGACCGAATTTTTAACTAAAATTATAAAAAAAAAGAACATTGCAACGCTGCTGCGCACATTTAGTGACATTTTTTTTCTTGTGTGAGACTTCTTTGTATATTGATTTTTCACTACTTAAGATTGATTTTACAAATTTAGTTATTATAAATATTTCCTAAATTCTTTTTAAATATTACATACCATATTGTGTTAAGTATTCCATTAGTTTAGTTCGAAAATACTTATAAATTTATTGCCAAAACTTTAAGCAGTTTCTTAAAATCTGCCTCCCACATATACACACTACGCACAAGTTACTCCACTGTCTGATTCAGTGAACTAAAATTTCGTTATAATTTCCGTTCAATTGCTTACTACCAACGTTATCAGTAAAAACAAATAACGATGCAATTGTTTAATTTAGAATTATTACACATTTAAATTTTTCTTCTTTTTCGCAGAAAATAAAATATTGTAAAATTCTCCAAAGACTAACGTACACCAACAAAAACACAGCACAACTGAAATGAATTTGATGGTTTTATCAAGTCAACGTTGCCAGACCACCAAGACACGATGAACTACTCTGTATTAAGAGTGTAATACAGAAATTTTAAAAATACACTTTATTACTTAATGAAGAGCAAGACAAAGAAAAATTTTTTATAAGTGTATTCTTTTGACATGAATACTCCAATAGAACAACTTTTGGTATTTAAAAATAACTTGATATCACTAGTAAACATATGACAACTAAAAAAATTCAAACTAATTTACGGTTGAATTTTATACATATACACATATAGGCAATACGAGAATGCGAATAAAACTGTCTGCTATTTCCGCAAATTTTATTAAAAAAAATTAATTTTTTAAAATATTTAAATTCGCTCATCAACACTCGTAACAGTTGTAAATAATAAACAGCTGATTGGTATTTTCCACTTTCTTCTAAAAATAATTCACAATAGATCAGTTTTAAGGTTTGGCACCATTGTAGTGCGAGAGGCTTATTCGTTAAGCACTTTCAGGAAAGTGGGTTTATTTTTGCGAATTTTGTTTTTGTTTTGCATGTTAATTTTTAAGTGACACGTGTTTTATTGGAGCATTAGCGTCAAAAGAATAAACCTTATATTCATACATGGGATTTAAGTTTATATAATATAAGTACATAAAAAATTTTTCAATAATTATTTTTATTTATCAACAAAGGCTGATATTAAAGAAAATTTCAAATGCAACTATGCGAAAGATGAATTATAAACAACAAACAAAAATGTGACATTTATTTTTAAAAACAGCTGACTAATAAAACCGGGAAAATATTTTTAAAGCGGTCCAAGTTTTTAAATTCGAATATATAAAAAAAATTGTAACTGTTATGAATTTAAAATAGAGTGAAAAATAATAAATGTGTACCTAAAACCCACCAAAGGTAATAAAACTACTGAATGCTATCCCTTATAGTTATAATAATCGACTTTCAAAATTGATACAGATACAAATGGTATGTTGAGTATGTAATTTTTAACATTCGATTTGTGAACAAAAAACATATGATTTCCTTAATTTGGGGCAGTATGAATACTTTCCAAATTAACTTAATTTCATTTTAACGAAATGAGGGTTTTTTGGCTGTCTGAACACAGTATATCTAATATATAAATCATTTATATATATTTTATATATCAATTACATATTCAATTAATAAGAACAAAGATTTCAATAAATACTTATTTCCTCAGTGGAGTTGTTTAAAGTTCAGCTGTTATTTGTTTACATTTTACATATAAAACATATACCACAGAGTTTAAATTTTGGTAATTTAGCTTGTGGGAAATTTATTTTTAAGAGTTGGATTCGACATTTTTCGCCTTAAATGAGCTGATTTATTGAAATTGAGCTTAATTATATGAAATTTCTTAATATCGTGAATTATCCTCATTACTGGCTATAATGAACAAACCCGCATAAATGAGATATTGTAAATGTGATATTATCCATTAAAAAAAATATTTATGTATATTTTTTTATTTATATACGATAATATATGTTATAAACAAAGATAATATTCTGATAATTTAATAAATATAATATTTAATATATTATATTTCTATTCAAGCAATTATCTATCTTGTTTTGTATATATATCTTTATACAAGAGGAATAAATTTTCACATAATTGAAGACTATATATGTACCTACTCTATATTTAATATTTATTATTATATCTACGTACGTAGCTAACCTTCTTTGCGAACACCTAAAGCTGAAGATATATATAGTAAATTATGAATCAACTTTTATACCTATGTAACAAATCCGTAAGAAAACATTAAAATTTGAAATTTTAAAAATAATTATTAATTGTTGAAGTGGAAAGCAACTAATAATCTACAAGCTCATAAAGTAATAGAACATATTAAATTCATTGATATCCTAAGTACGGATAAAAATAACGAGATCGAATAATATACTAATATAACCCTATGACTTAAAATAGTTTCCGGTTAAAGTTAACAACTTGAAATTTACTTAAAAATTAGCTTTCAAATACTGATTGTTGTTGTTAAAATTTTGTGGGAAGAAATCAGTTGGTTATATTAGAATAGTTTTGGACAAGTATTGGATAAGATAGGAAGTACTTGTTTTATATATGAATGAGGAACATGAGATTGAATAAGTACCATTAAAGTGAGAGAAAGATTTAAGCATTAATTGTATAAATTGGCGATATTTCTTTACATTAAAGAAATGCAAATGCAATATTTATAATTTTTAGCTTTGTTGGGAAGTGATCGTTGATATCTATACATACAATAAAGATTTTATGAAAAAATAAACATATGAGTTCCTTGCTAATTTTTACATATACCTATTGTAATGACTAAAAAGGAATTATATATAATTATTTATATGACTTATATTTATTATAGAATTTATAACAATTTCATTTATGTACTAAGTTTTTATTCAAATATTTTTAAATTTCATAATATTCATCTTATATAGTTATACCTTTTTCTTATCCTTAATAGTGTACTTGTCATAAGATTTCCCTGGTTCATATGGCTCCCATCGACTTGCAGGAAATATGTGCTTATTACGCTCATACCAAGACCGTAGTAGCACTTTGCCAGCATGTGACTCTTCCTTTTCAACAGAGGCGTCACTAACCATACGCACATCTTCATGGACATCAAATTGAAAAAGTGGACCACTTTTGCCGCGGGCTTTTGTAACAATAAAATCATAAAAGGAATAGTGGTGTGGTAATATTAAATCTTCTTTAACGTACATCAATTGATCTGCCATTACGGTCTTTAGTTCATTGAATTCCTTACGCAACAACTCTAAGCATCGCTGTAAAAATTGATAAATTGTATTACCTTTTTTCATGATAACACTACGCCTATGACCTGAGCCATCCCAATAACTGAATGTTATTGTTATTTCTTGATCTTTGAGTGTGGCTTGCTGCATCACCCATTCTTGACGAAGTTGTTCACGTAAACGATTTTCTTGTTCTTCTCGCTTACGATCTGGTAGGAAGGATGTATCTACTTCTGGATTTTTAAATATTTTTTTTTTTGGTACAGGTTCCTCACTGATATCAGTCCATTTGTTCTTTTTTGGTACTTCGGCGTTTTTTACAACGATTTCATTATCATCATCAGATTTGTCATTATCATCAGCATCTCCCTCGTCCTCATTAAAATTAAAAGATAATGCCTGAATCTGTCTTTTTTGTTTAGTTTTTTCAGCTTGTATTGCTTCAAGTGCTTTTTGCTTTTCACGTTCCTTTTCATCCTTCTTTTGAGCCAATTTCTTTTCACGTTCACGTACTATATCTTCTTGCTTGGCTTTCATTTCGTCCAACGTAACCAAACCAATGGTTGATGATTTAAGTTGCTGTTCCACTGCATCATAATGTGTAGCGAATTTATTTTCAATCTTATCTAGCTTTAGTTCCTCCTCAATTTTCTTTTTACGAAACTCCACTTCTTGTGCTGCGATTTCACGCTTTTTCATTAGTTGAGCAGCACGCCCAGCTTCACTAGCTGCACCCTTATAAAATGCCATTATTTATATAAAAACTAGACTCTTTGATAGTTTTAGTATAAATATATGTTTTGTAAAATAATTTGTTTTTTTTTTTATAAATACCGCACGTTTGTTTAGACAAAAGTGTTTTTATTAATTTCGTTTGTTGTTAAAGAAACATCACGGTCAGCTGTCAATGTTCTTTGACAGTTACCAGTTTGCTGGGTTGCCAGGTTCATAAAATAGTTAACATAGCTAACTTCACATAATTTAGCGTGTAAAAATAAGCTTAATATTTAGTAAAAATACACAAAAGCTTTCTGTTAAAAACGAATGGGGTTGGGGGCTGACATTAGTTGACATTTTAACATTTTAACATTTTTTGCTCTTATGCACTTTTAACTTATGTTAAGGACTTTAGTAGCGACAGGATTCTCAAAGGTTACGGTACGCGTTCTATAAATGCGCTTAATAAAATGTATACAAATTTCAGAAATATTGTAAACGAACAAACAAACAAAAATAAATAAGCCTAATCAACTTTTAAGAAAACTTGCTTCAAGACATAATTGAATGTTATATTAATTCAAATTTTTCGAAGTACTTAAAAATACACAAGAAAAAAGAACATTTGCTAAAATGAAACAATGAAATAGAATAAGTGTTTATGGTGTGAGAAACAATGATGAGTGTGGCAAGGACATTAGGACAAAGTTGAAGTCAAAAAACCAAACCAAAGAACGGAAACGGAAACACCAAATTGAAATTCTTAAATGGAATAACAATTTTATGATTTGTTGTAATAAGCAGTGACTCCAACTGTGTACTATATGCCTGAGGGGTATACACGGGGAAAATCTAAGAAGGAAATTGTGTAACAATTTCAAATGATGCCAATTTAAGAAATTCGTACCATTCAACGAATCATTTTAACTTGTGCTCGTTGTGTAATGTCTATGATTGCTACTGATGATGGAGTAATAAATAACCTTTGCTAATGTTATTCTATCTTAGACTAGGGGAATTTAAGACTCAGTATTTTGTTCACTCTACTAAATTAAGCAGTCAAATTCAAATTAAAAAAAATCGCTCTAAAAATTTGAGAGTAAAAATTTAGTTTGCGAAATGTAACAAAAAAAATTTAATGCTCTTAATCATGATCATAAACGCAATAGTAAAATGTTGTTTAGTACGCTTCACTTCATACTTGTATACTTTTGTGTATATATATGTAATATATTGTATGTGTTTGGGATATCCCTTGGTGGATGCAATGCTTGTTCATAAAATTTGTTAGAAATTGCTTAGAAACTATTAAAACGCAATTAGGGCAAACAATATAAATCCTACAATGCGCTTAAATTAAACACGACAGCGAATTTATTGTCGTTAATTTACAACTAAGACAACTGAATTGTCTATGGCAATACATCCCACATTGAACATTCACACGTTCACACATTCATCTATGTCGCTGAAGAATATTGCACTTAGGATCTTTGGCTGTATCAATAGTACTAATTAGTCAATTCTCAAGTTTATAATCATAAACTTGTGCTAATAATTAATTAATTTCTTACTTTACTTAATTCACAGTTGAGCCATTGAATTATTATTACTGGTGCTATTTATTGTGTAGATTTTTTGGGAGGGTGCATTAAGGAGTTCACACATACTTAGATAAAAGGTCAAATGTTAAAACTACGATAATGTAGAAATGTTTGAAGTACCAAATATATTCTCATATATGTATGGGAGATATTTATAAATTTGAAAGTAATAGTATATGCATAAATTACATTTATTTCAATGATCATTAAACATTAATATAATATGATTGGTATTTAATTTATATGTATTAATGTTAAAATTAATGTTATAAATTGTTGTAAAAATAATTACTGTATAAGTTAGAACAATTGAAATAGAAAAAGATAAAGTATTTAAATAGTGTTAATATATGCGAAAATACCATTTAAAATAGAAATCAACTGTATAAAATTTTACCACTATATTTTTATTGAGGTCAAAAATATTATTCTAAAATTGTTATGCTCTAATATAAATTTTTTATTTTTTATCAAAAACTTTTATTGAAAGCAATTTAATTTAAGCAATTTAAGCGATTTTAATTTTAAAAAATTGATTAGAAATAATGCTTTCTTTATTTTAAAAGATTCAAATTTAAAAAATTTATGAAATTATTACGAAATTTGTGATTGAGTTCTGCGGATTACTATAAAATCGCTTTTTAACATCAGGAGTTGCTATTTGTCTTAGGGGTTTCAGGGCAGTAAATCGAGAAAAGGAAGTAGAAACATTTCGTACATCTGTGATATTGTCTAGATATTTTCTATAAAATATTGTTTAGAAAATATTGTTTTCTGGTAAAGATAATGAAACTTTAACAACATCTTTAAATTATTTAAAATTGCAAGAGTTTCTTTTAAATACAAATAAATTGTATCTTTAATTTATATTTTCAAACTGACATAGAAAGTATGCTTAATAGACTCTTTTTAAAAGTCATTACCATAGCTCTTTTATTTATATATATATATGAATAGAAAGACCAATGGTAACCTGCAATATATGAGGTTTATTGTGTTATTCCTGGAGAAAATTTCTCAAGATATTTCATGCAATTTAATCTATTATTGATAAAAGTAAAAACAAACAACATTGGTTCAAAATCGCTGAGCACATTCAGTTCGAGAAAATTATTCTTACTTTCTGAGAATCGCGGTGTATTTGTGTGTATAATAGTTTTAAAACTATTAAGAGGTAAAAATAAAAGTTTAAGCATGTATATTTATAGAAAATGCAGGTGCCAATACTGTTTAGATCTATATTTAAACGGTGGTAGGTAAAAGGGGGATGTCGAGTTAAGAAGCCAGTGAACAATATTACTTCAGACTTATTTAGATTGAGAAATTAGTTATATTTGATGCCGGATTGAATAAGAACTCTCGATTCCTTAGGCATTTTTAATTAGCATGGTTTTTAAGCTCATTGTTTTTTTTATGTATTATTTAGTCGCTCTTGATATGAGCTGAAATTTCATAAATTTTTAAAAAAGTTTACGGCAAATATAATTAAGTAATATTTAAATGTGAACTGTATAGTTTTATTTAACTTTAAACAAAAATTAAACTATATACATCTGTGCGAATTTGTAATGCATTTAAAGGCATTGGTAAAGTTACTAAAGTTGTTCTTGCTGCTATTGCTGCTGGTCTTATGTAGATAAAGTTAGAAACATCTGAGATACACAATACATAATCATGTTATTTCAATACGTACTAGTGATCAAATTTTTGCAATAATTCGAAACCGAATCAGTGTCTTAAAGTCATTACGCTCAAGCCAATTAAGGTGGTATACAATATATTTCAATATATGGAATAAGGATTAACCAGAAGTACAAAAACAAATTCAATAGATCACTGATAATTATTGGTTTATTTTTGTTTACAGAATCTTTCAATGCAAATTCTCGGTAAACTAAAGATAGGTGATTACACAACAACACAACAATACCAGAAATACGGTAACTATGACTATTCAGAATATCCGTTCTATAATGAGATACAATAGTTTTGATAATGAATGCTAATACATGGCCAGTGCACCTACAAGCTAGCAAATTGGTTACTATCGATGTAATAGAAAGTCTATATGAGTACACAAACCATTATTTTACACAAATTCTGTATTAAATTCTGCATCTGTTTTTATATATTTAGCTACCTGTTATTTTTAAAGCCTAACTGAAACTTTATATGAAAACATTTAATTCAATCAAATCAATTATATTTAATATAAAATAATCAGAAATATTTTAGGGGATATATGGACACCAAAGCTCTTTGACCAAATTCGACCCACTGAATTTATTTGAAAACAGCTAAAGTGTAATACTCGTACATATAAATTTTTTAGTCAATTTTTTAATCATAATCCCATATCGGGGTTAAAAAAAAAATATATATACATACTTTAATTTTAAATTTTTTCTTTTAACTATTCTCTTTAACTGTTTAACATTTAACTTTTTTAAATGTGATAGATTATTTGTCAAAAAATTTGCAGGATTGTCAAAAGTATAAACGTAACTCACACCGATCGATCTTACATTTGATTTGCTTTTGGAACTAAAGAATATAAACTTTATTGTCTTTAAAATGTAAACTTTTTTTTTGATAATAACAAAGCTAATATAATTAAAGTACTCTTAATTAAAATTAATTACCTTTTCAGAGTAATTGTAGCTTGTGAGAAGAGAAACTAAATAAACAAATCAATTGATGTTAATTAGTTAAAAGCAGTTGGTACAACTTTTCAATTATAAACTTAGAAAAACTAAAAAAACTTCAATATTTCTCGGAAATCAACAGACGACAAGATTCACTTGTAACATTAATAAAATAATTAATCAGATATGTTCACACAATAATCAAATAAAGTTAAATAAAATTTTGTTTACTTTAAGTGAAGCAATAAATAAAGTTGTATACTTAATTTTTATTTAAGCGATTTTCATATTAATGTCACTATTATTACTGCACATTACTCTAAATACATTTTGTGTTTAATGAGCCGTAACAAGCACTGGGCTCGGACCAAGTTAAAAGCATATAAATATGACAGAAAAGGTCGTTCGCTGCTAAAAAGCCATTAAGAAATGTTGAAGTTAGGTTTTTGATTTGTTGGCATTCTTTGGTTCCCTCAATTTAATATTAAAAATTGAATATTTTATTTATGATACACATAAACAGATAGATATACATACAATAATAATAAATTAATGAATGTTCATATATACATATATACATTTCTTTATATGTATAAAGCATTTTTATTTATGCTATTCCTAGTTACATTTTATAACAAAGAAATGAATTTCTTGTTAGTTTTTTGCTATTTCATTTCATTTTCATTGATCCTAAAAGCAGACTTTAGTAATTTAATTAAGTTTGCATTTGTGTGTGATTTGAAATCAAAATATTCCTAAAATTTTTGTATACTCTTTCCTTCACCACATTTGTGTTATTTCTATTTGACTTTTGTGAATTTTTTATTTGTGCGTACACAAAATCCTTTATATTTTTTTTCATTTTGACATGTTTTGGTTAACACAGGTTGTTCTGGTGAAAGAAATTGTATGGAACCACAATAATATACATGTGCATATGTATT